ACCAAATAAAGCAATCTACCTTCTATAGTTTAGACATAGGTTATCTATTCTTCAATCAATAATCTACTACTCGTATTATATTTTCTTATAGTCACTCGTGTGGAGTCAGTGAGGTCTGTTAAGGATATCCTTGAACCTTATATATAATACGTGAAGGTGATTTTTACGAAACACTACTCCTCCAATGGACGGATTTTTACAAACGATGTGTCAAAATTAAGTATTTTTTGTGTAGACACCCCCTTTCACCAATTACTGTGATAAAAGTCTTTGGTGTTTTGCCCCACAGGTCATCAAAATTCCAATGTATTTCTTGTGAAGAAAATATTTTGTTTACTTAAACCATTCTTAAGCAGACGAATAATTTGGATTAATTACAGCTGTTCATAGTAAACACACATGATACTCACAAGAGCATTCGTTTTCAGAGTGAGTCGTTTTCAGTTTTGATAACTCAAGTGGAGTGAGCGTTCATTCTCAAAGTGAAATCGTTTCCAGTTTCAATAACTGGAGTGGGAATGATTGATAAAATTATCTTCGAGTTAACTCTTTTAAATGATCGGAAATTGTGACCGTTATTTTGTTTTGAAATATAACGCCTGTATAATACTTTGAAATTCGAGCAGCAGGCACACTAGTTTTGTTCTATTGAGTGGATCTGCAAATGTAATAATTATGACTAGTGTACATGTTGCTCGAAATCGAGCAATTTCAAATAAGTACATGAGTTGAGGAGTTACAAATAAACAAATGACTTGTTTAAACTAATAACAGTCATAATTCCCGATGATTTTAAAAGAGTCAAATAAAAGATTATTAACTGATAAAAATACTCACAATTTACATAACAGACCTATTCCAGTTTAAAGGGTTAATGTTTAACTATCAAACTGTCCATGGACGGGAAAAGGTAAGCTTACAATTTAAGTCAAAGTAAAAAGGCTGTCGGCTTTTATAATGTACCGTAGGCCTACCTAAGTTATTTAGCCAATTTGTAGGTGAGGGTGTAGGCTACTTTAAACTCTACAGAACAGAGTTAGGCAAAAACTGGCAGAACTCTGAAATGAAGTTATTTATCATAGACATACTCATATGCCAAATCCTTAAAATAAAAATTCAATAATTAATAACTTATATCATTAAACACAAACCAACATCCAAAACTATAGTACACATTTTTAATACAACATAGATAATTTACACATTGACTGTTTACAATTAACAACATGTGTTCTTCTTCAGGAATTTGACAGTTCTGGTTGTTCACATTTAAATGTAATATTTAATTTCTGACAACAGCTGGAGTTTCAAAACAATGTTTGTTTCCCATGTTAATCTTATGGAGAAACACGGAACTTTAAAGGGCCCCAGGGACTCAACTCTCTGATTATTTACCTAAAAAGAATGTTTCCTGCACAACTTCACGTTACGCTCTTTCCAATGACACCAAAAACATGTCAATCGGTTCAGTAGTTTCGGAGGAGTAATTGTCACAAAAATCCTGCTTGCGTATTAAATAAGTATGTATTATAATGTTATATTCACATATTATCATATGTTAAATGTATCATATGTTAGTTGGAGGTAAACAATATCAGTCATGTTTATGTTTCAGTCTTGAGTGGAATGGTAAATAAACTTCTGAGCTTTAAATGTTAAAGCTTCTAATTTTATTTATATTTTCTAACTAAAACATGGTGTCAGGTGTATTTTGAAACCTAGAAGAAATAATGGAAGTATCTGGATTGTTTAGGTTGCCTGAACCTATGAGTTTTGAAGGAAATGTGAGTGAAAATTGGAAAAGATTTCGTCAGAAGTTTGAACTGTACTTAATAGCAACTGGTCATGGTAAGAAACTTAAAGATGAAGTTAAGATTGCGCAGCTGCTTAATCTGTTAGGCGATGATGGCCTAGATGTTTATAATACTTTTAAATTTGAAGATAATGATAAAGATAGTTTTGATTGCGTACTTGATAAGTTTGAATCTTACTGTTGTCCTCTGAAAAATATCATATTTGAGCGGTTTAAATTCTATAGAATGAAGCAGGAAGAAGGTCAAGACTTCAGTAAGTTTGTTATGCAGTTAAAAATAGCAGCTAAATCATGCGAGTTTCTTGAACCTGACAATATGATTAGAGATAGAATTGTCTTAGGTATAAGAGATAAAAGTACTCAAGAGCGTCTATTAAGAGATACAAAACTTGACTTGAAAAAAGCTATTGATTTCTGTATGATTGTAGAGAGTAGCAAGGATCAATGTAGGACTATTGTAGAGCACAATGAAACCAAGCTTACGGGGACTGAGTCGGATCCATACAGTGTATGTGTTGTTAATAATGTGCCATATCAAGAACTTTCGCGGAGTGCTGCAAAAGAAAAACAGAATGATCTATGTAGCTTTTGCGGCTACAAACATGTACGGGGTAAATGTCCTGCATATGGCAAAACATGCTCGAAATGTGATGGTAAAAATCATTTTGCAAAGGTTTGTAGGAGCAAAACTATAAAATCTCATGCTGTTACAAACGAGGAACAACACGATGAAGACTCTTGTGTGAGCGATGTTAGTTTAGGCTCGGTAAGCTTAAACATTAGTGGAGTGAAAGGTCAAATAAGTGAAAAATCGTGGACGGAAAACTTGACTGTTGGTGGTACACAAGTTAAATTTAAACTAGATACAGGTGCAGAGATCAGTGTTTTACCTGCTAGTTATGTACGGAAAATGAATATTACACACGTAAAAAGTAGTTCTTATGTACTCTCAGCCTGGGGAGATGAAAAATTCAAAATCAAACCTCTAGGTCTTGTAATATTACAATGTAAAACAATTACAGGTGTAACTGCGGATGTGAATTTTGCTGTAGTGAATGTTGTTTGTGTGTGTTGTGCTGTATGTGAACATGAACTGCCGATTTTAGGACTGAAAGATTGTGTCAATTTAGGACTCATTAAGAGAGTGTCATCGATATGTTTGAATTTTAAGGATAAGGACGATGTTTTAACCGGCTACAAGCCAGCTTTTGAAGGATTGGGACAGTTTCCAAGCACTCATCATATTCAGCTTAAGGAGGGTGCTATCCCACAACGCAGGTGTAAAACAACGATCCCGGTCACTGAGGAACTGCTGAAACCAATGCTGAATGATGGAGTACAAGACAGATTAGATACAAGACAACACCTGCAGAAAAAATATTATGATCGGTCAGCCAAAGACTTAAGGGTGGTAAGAAATAACGAAAGAGTTGTCTTCAGAAATGAAGGAAGGTGGGAGCAGGGAAAGATTGTTAATCAAGGACCAACTCCAAGAAGTTACTGGTTAGAAGGTGACAACGGGGCTACATTAAGAAGAAATCGCCGCCATCTGAAACCATCACTCACTCAACAAAACAATTCCCAGTCAGTTCCAAGGCAAGACGAGCCAGTACAACTAAGACCTCGTAGAGAAATCAAGCTACCATCAAGATTTCAGAATACAATATAATGGTCTCAAAAGAAGGGAGAAGTTTGGTTGGTTATTGTTTTTAGTTAATTCTTTCAAATTTGTTTGCTGTTTTTTAAAGGGGAAAGATGTATTATAATGTTATATTCACATATTATCATATGTTAAATGTATCATATGTTAGTTGGAGGTAAACAATATCAGTCATGTTTATGTTTCAGTCTTGAGTGGAATGGTAAATAAACTTCTGAGCTTTAAATGTTAAAGCTTCTAATTTTATTTATATTTTCTAACTAAAACAAAGTATAGATAAGAACACGCTTAATTATAAAATTGGATTGAAATAAAATGTCAATTACCAATCAATATACATGATCTGTTTTATTGATGCAGTGAGTTTACAGACTATAAATGTCTAAGGTTTGGATTGATTAGGAGCTCTTTTTACCTCTTTGATTATGCATGAAAAGTTCATTTGTGATGGTGAACTTTTGGCGTTGAACAACTTTTTTTGTTGAAAGATCATTTGTCTGCAGCTCATCCTAACATGAAAGTGTTCATGACTCACGGAGGGATATTAAGTCAACATGAAGTGATAAGAGCTGGAGTTCCAGTAATCTGCACTCCTTATTTCGCAGATCAACACATGAATGCCAAGTTCTACGAGGAGAAAGGAATTGGGGTCGTTCTACCTTTCAAATCCTTATCAGAAGAAACAATCTTGTCAGCACTAAAAAACGTTCTTCATGATCCCAAGTAAGTGTTTTTTCTCTAAATAATTTTTTTTCTGTAAATGGTACCAGTAGGGGAAATATGTATTTAACACAGGATCCACTATAGGCTCATATGGGGCTAATTTTGGATATGGGTAAGAGCCTACCCCTACTCCACCATCCCGTCAAACCCCACAACTCCAATGGGCATGGCCAGGGGTTTGGGCTTCAAAGAGAGTGGTGGGGGGAGACATGATGAGGAATGGAGGTACTTCTCATACCCAACCCTAAAGTCAGCCTTCTAAGACCCCACATTGGCTCCTGTGACAGGACATGCCAATTGTTTCTATTATCCTATACCAGCAATGTTTTGTTTCTATTTAGTAATACCAGTAATGTTTGTGAAATTAATCTTGAAATTCAATACAGTAGAAGGATTTTGCTGTAACTTTAAAATGAGGGGTATTTTCATAATATTTTATTTGCTGGTAATTTAAGTGATGCTACTGTGTGTATCCAGGTACAAGGACAACATGTTGAAGATGTCAATGATCTACCAGGACCGCCCTGTCAGTCCCAAAGACACACTCCTATACTGGGTAGACTATGTCATGCGCCATGCTGGGGCTAAGCATCTTACACCAGCTGCAGCTGCAATGCCCTTCTATCAAGTTTATCTACTGGATGTAATTGGACTTGTTTCTATAGTACTTGTCACAACCTTAACATGCATTTATGTTATCATCAAACGGATTTTAGGAGTGTTTACCAATAATGGACAGTTGAGTAGTCAAAGCAGATTGAAAGGTGAAAGAAGTAAGAAACTGAACTAAAAGTTACACTTTTACAATCCAAGTAGATTGTTTCCTTTTGGTCTTCAGAAGATGATTGTGTTGTTGTTAAACTGGAAATGAGTTGCATCAAACCATATCAAGCTACATTGCATTGCAACATCAGTTTGTTTAAATTCAGTTGAATACAGCTTAGTTGAACAATAGATTGATTAGTCGTAGTTGATGTGAACCACCGACAGATTGTACTGATCTAAATTACCGGTATTAATTTCTGTATGAATACAGGAATGTTAATGTTTTTTCCAATTCAAACTTAATTGATGGAACGACTTATTTGGAGCTATAGCAACTGTTATGATCCTTAAACTAAGTCAGGGACAAACAACCAGGTAGGATATAGAATTTTTGACACTAGCGCATTCTCTGACTGTCTCACACAACTAAGTTCTTTTTAGTAAAAATGTTTCGACAGCTGGTCCATATAGATGGAATGTCTAGTTCTACTTCAGAATCCAAGTTTGGAATAATTCATGCCAAATATTCAACTGAATTTTTATTAAATTTTGTCACAAAGATTTGTTAAAAATGTTTGTATTAAAAAAGGTTAGCAAGACAATTTTACAAACAGGACTTTATTTGCTTGCATTTGCAGCTGCCTCCTGTTTCATTTTAATGCAAATTTTCATTTGAAGTTGTGCATTTTTGTGGAGGCTTTTAACCTAAAATTAGGTACCCATGCACAATTTAGGCTTTTTATTAGATGTAAATGTTTAATTGCAGACAAAACTTATAATGGATTACCGTTTTATTTTTTTTAAGACTATGTTGATTTTAGACGGTTATTAGATCTACAACTAAGAGCGATTTACCTATTTCATTCAGGTTAAAACTATTATTTTAGCCTATGAATTGCTTTGTATATCATTGCTACTGTAAGGGCTTACCTTTGTAATCCTATTGTTGATCCGATATTAATTTTTTACCCAAAGATTCATCTTCCGTCTTGAGTCTAGGTGACCAAACTTCTATAGTATAATCCACTCGATGGGTTTCGTAGTAAATTTAATAACAAAAAACACAGTTGACACGAAAATGGCACAAAAACTTGCGATAAAAACCATGGTTTTTTAAATGTGGGGTAACCTCACTTTAGTTTGGGAACACGTTGCCGTCAAAAATAACGAAAAAAATAACAAGCAATAGGAATTTCTGACAAAAGGCGGTTTTGCGTTAAGTTTGTATGTATGGTCTTTATAATTGTGTAACCTATTACAACCTAAAATGAGTGTAACCTATTGGAAAAATTAAGGTTCAAAACTTTAAGTAACTTTATGTTATTTTCCATAAAAACCCATAAGCAACCGAAGATCAGAAAAAAAAACACAGTTTTGGTTATAATTAGTATTTTATGGTCCTTATAATTCCAAACAAAATAGTTCAACCCTCCATTGCTGTAAAAATTACGGGTCAAAAGTTATTCCGACTTTTGTGATTTTCCCTATAAAATATCATAGTTATACTCCCACGCTTACCCATAATGCTAATGGGAGGAAGTCTATGTCAGGTTGCTTATACTGTTTGACATACCTTGAGAATTTAATCAAGCTTTTTGAAATGTCTTGACATCTTTGAGAATGAAAAATATTATTATGTGCGGTAATAAAATATACGTATTTAGGCTACTTGTCTTATCTTTAGAGATAACTTACAAATGTTTTGCACTTGAAATATAGATTGTATGAAGTAGTTTGATTGTAGTTTTGATGTTGGACCTAACAATATTTTGAGACGTACCTAATGGAAATGTTACACCTTTAAATTTTTTTTTTAAATTTAACCCCTTTACTACCACGTTATAGCAAAAGGCCCACTTGACAGTGTTACATGAAGTGCTATTAATGTAGTTCCTGTGTCGGTCTAGTTTGGATATTTTACTGGTGAGTTGCTTCTAAATTACTTGTTATTTTTAGCAATAATATTGGACTACTTTGTATTTATTATATTTCTTTTTATACTTTTAAAACTGGTTTTACCCATCACAAGTGATTTAAAGGAGCGGTTGTGTTTTTTGAGTCATGCAATCCATCCTAAAACTGAATTTCCAGACAGGGAAAAATCTTAAAAGATCACAAAATTCATTAAAAATATGAATTTCGCTTTTTCAAGTGGCGGCTAGCTTCAAAATTTCTTACTCAACTCTCTGTGTATTTTATGATCTTTTTAGAATTTAGATTTAAGGAATAACTCATTCCTTGCGTTTCATCTCCAAATTTGCTGGATTGAGATCTACAGGGTGTAGAATGTACACAGCAACTCAATTTTTCCAGATTTAGCTTAGAAGAAAAAAAATTGAAAACGGCTGCCATTTATAAAAACAGAATTCATATTTTTTTATTTAATAAGAAAATAGTTTGCAATGCTCTCTGAGATACTGGTACAGTTAAGTTGATCCTATTTTATAGTGGCGTATCCAGAGACCAACTTCCCTGTAGGAAATTTGCTGAAAGGTTTTGACAAAATAGGTCCAAGGACATTTACTGATTAGTTTATAGTTCACACACTAAACAAACTTACTAAACCCATACAAGGTTATTGTTTTTGACAATTCTCTATAATCATAAACCACAAATTATAGAAATCACTTTTAAAAGTGGGTCAAAACAGATGTAAATAACTTATGTAAAAAACGAGTAGGCTAATTAATGGGGGTTTTATAATGATGACAGAAATAACTTGCATGATTGCTAACCAAAATTACCTATTTAAAAAAACAATTTCTACTTTGATAATTTATACGTGGGAAGAGCCCAGGTTTTGGTGCCGGAGGTCCCGGGTTCAAATTCTGCCGATCACCAATGGATTTTATCCATTTGATAATGCCACAACCCACTAGGACTAGCCTGAGGTAATGTGTAAAACAGTTCCGGGACAGAACTAGTGTCCTAGGATGTGAAAGTGGGACATAAAACAACAACAAAAAACCTGGTTATAACACATTTTTACAAGTTACTTTCCAACTACATTTTTTTAACATTTATGGTATATAATCATCAGCAAACTAAAACAGACACACTCAATTAACCCATTCAATATTATTTTTTCCAAGCAATACCTAACTGATAAAGTTTTTAATATTATTTCATAAAAGTTTGCCCTAAGGTAAAAGGAATTTTTAATTGTGCATAAAAAAAAGTCTCAAAACTAACAATTATTGTTTTGTAGTTAGGTAGTTTATCTCACGTCATAATTTGTTTGTAAACTTTGACGTAAAAACCCTTATTTACATAGTGGGGATCCCTTTTATCTTCCCTGTACTACTGTGCTGAAACCACTTATAACATTTCTCAAATTGATTTTATTTTAATGGATTATTCAAATAACACTAACACTGTAATCTGCCAGGTAACATATGTTACCATGACTTAGTCCTTGATAGTCACATAATTATGTCTGTAGATCTACCATGAACATCGTGTTACTGCTGCTCCTGATGTCTTACGGAGGTCCTGCCATGTCAGCCAGGATCCTTGCTGTCCTGCCAATCCCTGCCAAGAGTCATCACATCCTGTTTAACGCTGTGTTGAGGACACTGGCCCAGGCAGGACATCAGGTCGTCAGCTACAGTGGTCTACCAGCCGACCAGGAGGTGGCAAACTTAACTGTCATTCACATGGACAACATCCAACCAGTAGATAAATCAAGTGCGTATTTAAAATAGCAGAAATATCAGTTAATATTTGGTATGTATATATATTTATATATGTGTCCGTTAGCAACTCTAGTAAAAATGATCAGATTTTGATAAAATTTGGTACAAACATGTAAGCTCACGTTTATTTGAACGAGTTCAACCAGCATGATCGGACTATGGGAACAGGGGTTTTATGGGGTGAAAATTGGTTTTACTCATTTTGACCCTAAAACATAAAATTTAGCAAACTTCTTTGCAAACCATTTTGTAGAGCTTAAAAAAAAAATTATTTAGTACTAGCTGTAACCCGCGGGCTTTGCCCCGTTTAACTTCTTAATTTTCAAGATTATCTCGTTCGCATGGATCAATCACGTCCTGGTTGAAGTTTGTTCGCTACGCTCACTCACCTTTAGGTTGGAGCTCGTTCGCTACGCTCACTCACCTTTAGTTTGGAGCTCGTTCGCTGCGCTCACTTGCCTTCAGGTTAGCTCGTTCGCTACACTAACTCGCCTCCAGGTTGAAGTTCGTTCGCTACGCTCACTCACCTTTTGGTTGCAAATTAGCTGTTGTCATAAATGTAAAAGAAATAATAGTGCTGCACCCTGTTGGTAATCCTTGTAACTTTAATGCTATTGAACATCATAGAACAGAACCAACTTGTTTAATTGAAACAGCTGTTAAGATTCAATAATTCCATTTCTCATAAGGTTAACATGGGAAACTCCAGAGCCACTGGGGCGGAGCCCGAAAGGATTTTTGAAATAAGAATATGCCTATATGTTAATCGGGAATGTGAGCTATCATCATGCCAAATTTCAGCCCAATCCGACCAGTATTTTTCGCGTTCACTTGTCACAAACATACATCCAAACTATCTCATTTATAATATTAGTAGGATATTGAATCGTTATTATGCGCCTAATGAATAGGAAGAAAATAAAAAAAAATTTTTATTTAAAATCATTATGTTATTTTTATGGTGAAAATTGTAAACTGTTGTAGTTTGCTTGTTTATGTGCATATTTTGATAAAATTTGGAAAATGCGCTAATTTCATACTAAACTATTAAAATAAAAAAACACCTTTTTATAACACATTTTCCTTGTTGCAGCAAACGTAAGTACTCGTTAAACTAATGCTATTTAAATAGGGAATAAATCTATATCTATAAAAGAGGAACTATGTATGTATGTATGTGTGTGTGTATGTGTGTATATACGTTATGGACTCCGAAACCGCTAGACAGATTGTAATGAAAATTTCAGGCATTGTTAAGCATCTTTCAAGGATGGTTCGAGTGAAGTTTGATGCAGATCCGTCAAAAGGGCTCTGCCCTAGAGGGTTTTAAGTGGGCCATTGTCAGACTTTTTGATCCACAATGTTTACAAATTAATATAATTTAGAAGCAGATGTTTACTTTCACCAACTGTTTTGTAGGTTTGAATAATCACAACATTCTGTATTAGCATTAGTCATGATTTGAAATAGTGCCACAGTGTTTCTACAGAGTGCAGCACAGAAAACTATTTTACTTTTTAATAAGTCCAATTGTATTAAACCCCAATCGCAGCACACCTGTGCACTCAACAACGTTTAAATTCTCCAATGTTAAATATTAAAACATAAAAATCTTTATCAAAGTATTATGAACAACAAAAGAGATGATTTTTTTTAAATTTATGACAACAGTTAATTTGCAACCAAATGGTGAGTGAGCGTAGCGAACGAACATCAACCTGGAGGTGAGTAAGCGTAGCGAACAAGCTAACCTGAAAACAAGTGAGCGCAGCGAACGATTTCCAACCTGAAGGTGAGTGAGCGTAGCGAACGAACTTCAACCAGGACGTGATTGAGCCATGCGAATACTTATGAAGTTAAGCGGGGCAAAGCCCGCGGGTACAGCTAGTATGATATATTTTAGTGTAAATCCAATCAGGCAAATGAAAATTCGCTAAGTCTGCAGGTTTGCTGCGGTGGGGGTATTTTGTTATGCCTTTTCTTTTGTTGTAACTATATTTTCATAATATATCATCAGACAATAGTTATTTGTGCAACTAGTGAGAAAAGTGAGCAATTGACTCACTCGAGAGAAATCCTTACTCACGAGCCGTAGGCGAGTGAGGAATGGTTTCTCGAGTGAGGCAATTGTACTTTGAACTCGAGTTGCACATTATACTTTTCCTACAGTTACCATAAAACAAATAAATTGGTGAAGAAACATAACCTATTTTTACACAGAAGTGAACTTTTAATATAACATTTAATGTGAAGTGACAAATACAACAGTACAACAGCTGACCAGCTGATTTACAGCCAGTGCTGCCAACGTATTTCACGCGCATACGACGTTGCCTGCATGTTACGCGCTCACTATTTCGTGCCTTCTCGTTGCAAATCTGGTGTCTCACTGATGAGCGAATTGGCCACTTTGCTTTCTCAAATCAGTGAGAGAACATGTACATTGTTAGGTAACTGTAGGAAAATTCCTTTGTGAAGAGAAGTTCATAAAATGTATCATAAATCTATGTAAAAAACAGGGAAACAATTGGTAGACATCAGTGCACTCAAAGATAATGAAAAACAGATTTCAACAGGTTCCAAATTCAACAAATCTAATTTCAATATTCAAAAATTGTTGATATATTCTTATCAATTTAAATAGCTACTGTTATTATCATTTAATGCTGTCTGTTTTGTTGTCTTAATCTACCCTTTTACGTTGCAGTGACCAAAGAAATGCTGGAGATGTAGTTAAACATGAGTCCAGTTGGATCTACCTCAACTTTTGCCATCAAATGGAATTTGTTTACAAAAAATATGAAAAATAACAAGGATTTTCAGCAGCTTCTTAAATCCAATGAAAAGTTTGATTTGATATTTTTGGAGGCGTTTTATGCTCAAGAATCACTTTTTGCCCTTGGTCACAAGTTCAAAGCTCCCATAATCAATCTTCAACCATTCGGAGCTTTCAGTCTTGTAAACAGAGCTAGTGGGAATTCTCTCAACCTTGCTTACATTCCTGATTTCGCTTTTCCATTCTCAAATCACATGACCTTCTATGAGAGGACACTCAATGCTTACTCAATTTTGAGTACGCTTTTCAAATATTACTTCTATATGTTTCCCTCGCAAGATCAGTATATGAGGGAGTTGTTTAACGACTCTTCGCTACCTCCCTTGTCAGAATTGATGCAGACCTGGTTGGCCTTGACTTTTTCAAACGAGCATCCTCATGTTCACTATGCGCAGCCGTACACCCCCAACATCATTCCGATCGGTGGAATACATCTGGCCAAGGAGCAGAACCCACTTCCTGAGGTAAGTATGCAGAATTCATTGCTGAGGTTGTATGAATATATAATTAATTATGGTTATTTTAATTAAATCATTCTACTGTGAACTAGAGGTTTCTTGTCAAATCAACCAAATGTAACTGATTTTCTTTTACATCCGGGTTTTCCTTAAATCCTTAAAACCCATTATATATTATGGGTTAAAAGGTTTATCCATCCATAACTTACTATTTCTTTAAGTTCCTAAAAAAGTTCTTTAATCCCAAATCATGTTTCATACTTATCTCATCTGTAATAGTAACTACCTACAATATATAATCTAATATTTATGGTATAGACTCGACTGGATCACTGATTTTTACAATAAAAGGTTAAAATTACCTGTTTCCGTCAAGTGATCCTAGATTGTAGTTGGTTGACTACAGTTGTTTTGTGTTAACAAACAAATTTTCAGGTCAAATGTTGCATTGATTTATTTCATTGGTCGTTAAGAGGTTAAAAGTTCAAAAATAACACTTACACGTAGACGAAACATTAAACATTAATTGGCCAAAACACAAATACATCAAAACGAGACAAGATCTACCTTCTACTGGTGCCGCATGTGTCCAAATGTCTTGTTTTTTTATGTATTTGTATTTGGGCCAATTAATTTTTAATGTTTCGTCTACGTGTAAGTGTTATTTATAAACTTTTAACCTCTTGACGACCTTGACTTGAGTCAATGTGTTAAGGGCTATATAAATGTATATGAATTTCAATGGATGCCGTTTTTGGCCCATGGAGGTATTAAAATGAAAAAAAGTAAATTGGTCCTGGGCCTAGGTGTTCTTATGTTCTATATGGTTTAACTTTTAACGTTGTAGGTTCATGAGTGAAAAATTATTGTGATCTTAATAATATTTTCTAGGAAATGAAAAGGTTCCTGGATAAGGCATCTGAAGGAGTTGTATACTTCAGCGTTGGGTCAATAGTCCCGGACCATCTGCTTGATGAAGAATACTTCAACAACTTTCTTGCAGCATTCAGTTGTTTGCCACAAAAAGTATTGTGGAAAACAAAACGCAACCTTCAAAATCTGCCAAAAAATATAATGACATCGGAGTGGGTGCCCCAACAAGATGTTCTGGGTAAGTTTATAATTAATAGGATTTTAACATAATGCAACTTGGAGTTTCTAGTTTTATCCACGAAAAGGCTACAACATTTTGGACTTTAAGAGATGACCTTGTGTTATTGAATTGGCAAAAATGCTGCTGACGTTTTTGATGTTTAACCCCAATTCATCTTAAGAGCAAACCAAATGCAACTGAAGAACATACAATTTTCTTCAATCTTTTTGAATGGCCTGTCATACAATTTTCATTTGAATGTTAAGTAATACCAAATAGAGATTGTTGCAGCCAAAGACAAAACAGTAACTTACTTACAGAACTATTACTCAGTATTACCGTCTGAGCTACAATCAATGAAAGTGAGATGTTGACTTGTTAAGCAGCCACCTCCTTTAAGACCAAATATTGCAATCTGCCATCAAGTCAATGCATAGTTTTTTTTATTCTTCAATCAATTAGGCTATTATCTACTACTTGTATGTTTTTTAAGTCCATAGTGTAGGGTCAGTGAGGTCGTGGGATATGGATATTTTGTTATATGGAGTGGATCTGCAAATGCAATCATTACAAGTACATTTCATGATCATATAAGTTCAATTAATATCAATTGTCAATTACCAATATACATGATCTGTTTAGTGGATGCGATGACTTACATACAATAAATGTTTTGTACAAGAAAAGAATTGAATTGATGTAATTTGAAAGAGCTCTTTTACACTTTACAAATTGTACTTGGAAAGTTCATTTGTCTGCAGCTCATCCTAACGTGAAAGTGTTCATGACTCACGGAGGGATGTTTAGTCAACATGAGGTGATCAGAGCTGGAGTCCCAGTAATCTGCACTCCTTACTTCGGCGATCAACCCATGAATGCCAAGTTCTACGAGGAGAAAGGAATTGGAGTCATTCTGCCTTTCAAATCCTTATCAGAAGAAACAATCTTGTCAGCACTAAAAAAAGTGCTTAATGATAAAAAGTAAGTGTTTGGTTTTACTTAAGGTTTTTTCTATAAATTTTATCAGTAGAGGAAATATGTATTGCACTTAAGGGGGTAAAGTTTGGAAGGACAGGAGCATGCCCTTACCCTCTCCACCACTACGCTGATCCCCACAACTCCACTGGGCGAGGCCAGAGGGCACGGCTTCAAGCAGAGTGGTGGTGGGAGCCAGGAGAGCCCAGATTGACTCCTGTGCCAGGACATAGCAATTTTTTCTATAACCCAATTCTACATCCATTTTTTCTATACAGTAACATCCTATTCTATAATCCAATATCAAAAATGTTTGTGAAATTAATCTTGAAGTTATTTACTTGAAGTTAATCTTGAGAAGGATTTTTTGTGAGTTTGAAATTAGGGTTTTTAAAATGTATTAATTATTGCTTTAATCATCAACAATGGTCATTCGAGTGATGCTACTGTGTATATCCAGGTACAAGGACAACATGTTGAAGATGTCTATGATCTACCAGGACCGCCCTGTCAGTCCCACAGACACACTCCTATACTGGGTAGACTATGTCATGTGCCATGCTGGGGCTAAGCATCTTACACCAGCTGCAGCTGCAATGCCCTTCTATCAAGTTTATCTACTGGATGTAATTGGACTTGTTTCTATAGTACTTGTCACAACCTTAACATGCATTTATGTTATCATCAAACGGATTTTAGGAGTGTTTACCAATAATGGACAGTTGAGTAGTCAAAGCAGATTGAAAGGTGAAAGAAGTAAGAAACTGAACTAAAAGTCACACTTTTACAGTCCAAGTAGACCGTTGCCTTTTGGTCTTCGGAAGATGATTGTTGTTGAACTGGAGATGAGTTGCATCAAATCCATATTCAGGTCAAGCTACATTGCAACTTCAGTTTGTTTAAATTTAGTTGAATACAACTTAGTTGAACAGTAGATTGTCTTTATAACGGATTGCTGCAACTTATTCAAACTTATTACTGTCAGTTCAACATAATGTTCTTTTCCCAAATGTAAATATTCAACCAAATGTTCATTACATTTTCGTAATGAGGATTAGATAAAAATGTGTATATTAAAAAGTTAGCAATACAAGAGTCAACAAAGTGGACTCTATTTGCTTGCATTTGCAGTTGTTTTCAATTTTTTTAAAGTCCCCCAGGGGACGAAATATAGTGTGTTTATTGTCTCTTCTATATTTTCTATGGCATACCTGTACTTCTTCGAGGTAAGCTAACTGATGTCCTCTTTATTCTACAATTCAAAATCCTGGCCTAGAGCCTTTCCTTGAACTAACCTGACCAATAAGTTATTTTCTGGTACCATTGAAAAAAATGTTTCAAAGTTTAGAATTTCCCAAAATCATGGCTCAAGATTAAATCTAGACTATTTAGAGGTCCGCTTTAATTCATTATACCGTTTTTATAAATAACTCCATCTACTTCAAAAGATCAATTATTTTCCTATTATACTTCTGGAATGTTCAGTTGTTTTTATGTAAAAAGACAAATAAATGTCTCTTAGTAGTTTTAAATCTTCCTATTTAACCATTAACAATGTATCCTATCATTTATATGATGTGCTGTGCTGACATGTAATTCAATAAATAAACATCATTATGGGAAAGATACATGTAATCTTTAGGGATTGTAGAGTTTTAAAATTGAGATAGTTATGACTGTTAATGTTAGGATAACACCAACAAATAAAGACTTGTTTATTTAATCTGCTTCTTGAGATTTTATTTACTGTTTGGATAAAGTTGCTTCAAAAATATTTAGATCTACGATAAATGTTTTGAATCTACATTAATATTTACAAAAATCTATTGTAAAACAATATTGTACAATTTTGTAATCTACTGTTACAAAAAATATTGTATGTTCTGTCTTTACTTTGCCATTACTTATTTTGACATGTATAAATGGAAGTAGTAGTATCTGTTAAACATCTAAACTCAAATACAGAGAATGTTTGCGTATTTTTATGTTATTTTTATGTTGAACACGCATTTTAGAGTTCAAATGTCTTATTTTCTGCAAATAACAAAATAGACATTATAAGTTTAGAATAGTAAAAAAGAGTTTGTCATATGTTAGCAATATTTTATATCCCTATATTTTAACAGAACATCAACTAAAAAGGTGTGTTTTATAATAGTGAGTGCATGGGCTGCGTCGGCTTCTGCAAGTCGGGAGTGGGGGAGCATAACCGAAAACAGCGCCCACAGTGCCACTGAGAGCACAATCCAGTAGTTCTTTACATCTAACTAAGCGACTATGGTATTAGAAAAGTATAAAGCATGGTTATTTGCATTAGTTTTCCATGTGCTCACTATAGAAGTGTTGTGGAATAGTCAGTGTAAATGTTGACAACAGGAATGACGTGGATTACAAGCCATAGATAAGTGACAAGATATAACCCACTTGACAGAGTTACATATGAAGTGCTATTGATTCAGTTTGTTTTATATTCTACTGGTGAGTTGCTTCTAAATTACTTGTTTTTTTTTTAGCACAGGACTACCTTGTGTTTATATTTCTTTTTATACTTTTAAAATTGGTTTTACCCATGAATACTTGAACAGAACTGGTATGGATCATAAACAAACAAATGAGTTTCCAGCAACGTCATTTGTTTATGTTTATGATCCATACCGGTTTTGTTCAAGAATTAGTGGTTTTACCAATCACAAGTGATTTAAAGGAGTGATGGATGCATGGATGTTTTTTGATTCATGCAATCCATCTTATAACTATACTCATTATTAATTGACCTGTAGGTTTTAATTAACTCTGAAGTCAACCCTTGTGGAAATATCGGTGAACTCATAACTCATAACTCATAACTCATTTATTGAACCAAAATAACAGATACAAAATTTGCATTGGTCATGTCAAATAATAGAACTAAAATTAAAATAAACAATAGACAATGTTGCTTCAATAAAACAATATCAATTACTTCTTACAACAACAAAAAAACTAACTAACTAAACCCATCAGCGACACAATCTCGAACACTGTAGTAACCCTTGGCCAAGAGTATTTTTTTGATTTGCTTTTTAAAGCTGTTCAAGTCCGACTCTAGCTGAAGGGAGGGAGGGAGGAGATTAAAAAGTTTAATGCCATTGTAATGAAAGTGTCTCTTGAAAAATGTAGTTGAATGAGATGGTAATTTAAGATGAGAATTGTTACGTAGTGAATAGGAATGTGTAAGTGAAGATTGGTATTGGTGTAAGTTTTTTTTAATGAGAATCAAAGTTTCCAAAATGTATATTGAGGGAAATGTTAAAATTTGTGATGAAATAAAGTATTGCCTGCAAGATGTTCTTCTTTTCAAACCAAAGACTGCCCTAACTGCCCTCTTCTGGAGTCGGAAAAGGAAAGACGTTTTCCCACACTCACACCCCCACACCGGCACTGCGTATATCAGGTGCGGGAAAATCACTCCATAATATGCTGTAATTAGAACATCACATTTTGCAAACTTAGAAAGTTGGCGGAGAAGAAAGATTCCCGAAGAAATCCTTCTACACATAGTGTCAATATGGGAATGAAAGCGCAGGTTTCTATCGAGCACCAATCCCAAGAACTTAACCTGATCAGTTGCCTCGAGCACAACATCATTCAAAAGGAAATTGTTTTTGTTTTTCCCAGCTGAACTTATAGAAAAATTTACAAATTTAGTTTCTCTGGCATTTAGACTCAATGAGTTGCCCTCGAACCACTGATCTTCGAACCACTGATGAAGATCTTCACTGATATCAGTTGACATCAGCTGATTTTTATAAGGGAATATAGTAAACAAAGAACAACTGGTAGACAACTAAGAAATTCATAAATGAAATAAGACATAAATAGTACAATATTACCACATTCTCCCCACCCTTAAATGAGACTTAATCTTTAAGATAGTATTTTGTGTTTATGTTGTAAATTAAATGGGTTTCGGAAGGTATAGCTTGAGTCTTCGTGAGAACCGTTTGTATGTTCAACCAGTTCATCTGTGTCATTACATGTCCCACTAATAGTATATTTCATAACAAGAGTAGAAAGTGAGTCATAACGTATTTGAGACCATGTTTGAAGTGCAAGATTTATCGAGCAATTTAAATTGTCGAGAATATGTATTGACCCACTTTCACTCGTGTTTTGAATGTTACTTTTTGCTACACTACAAAGAATAATTATTTTACTCATCAAATTTGTTAGTTTTGCCTTCAATTTAAAGTTAATATTTACTTTAATTGTTGAAAATTGAAACAGTTGATAAAACAATAACAAATATTTGAAATAGTTGACAGTGGAAAATTTTCGGTTGTAACCAATGTTACTTTTGTTGAAAATGCCTGCCTTTTCTATTTATTATTGTAATAGTCATACAGATGATATGAATGTTGTTCTTACCATCAGCTGTCCGTTTATGTTTGTCCAAATTTGTTCATTATAAAGATTAATGAGAAATACTTTTGCTTATTTTTATAGTTTAAATTTGTTTTTCGTCATAAACAGCTGTCTATTGTTTACTACTGAAAGTCAGTAGTAAACAATAGACAGCTGTTGAAAATATGATGTTTGCAGGTTGTAAACACAAGGAAAACAGCTCAACTCAGTAATGTAGTGAAAAATAATTTTTCCTACAGTCACCCGACAAAGTTGGCTTCCTTGTACTGTTTATAGTACAGAACTAGCTGCTAATTGCTGCATATTTATACTTTGCCGTACGGTTTATACTTTGCCGTACGGTTTATACTTTGCCGCACATCAGGATTCCAACGAAACAACACAAAACAGCGTGGTTCTATTATGCACGTAATCCGTGTACGCTTGGAAATAGGTTGGCAACACTTAAAGATAATAATACTATGAGCAGCTGATTGACTATTATAACTACGATTTAACCTGTCATTTCGTGTTTATAGTTTCGGTATTTCTGAACTTTCTGGACTTTTCTTTTAAACGTTTTTAAAACATTCCTACAATCTTAATAAACAAGAAAATACATTTAAAGCGTTTTTTTAGGCGCGGAAACTACTTCAAATTACAAAAACATACGGAACTATATTATATTCTTAAAACGCGGAGCACATTTCTTGCCGAGGAAAAATAGCGGAGTGATACGGACCGCGCGTACTACTTTCTCTGGGGCACCTATTTGTGTTGCCAGCTAACCTAAAAACGTGTTGTATAGTGTTTGAAAGACTAATTATTTATATACTTTATAGTGACTGTAGGAAAAATATAATGTGTAACACGAGTGAAAAAGGCCTTTGCTGCACTCGAGATCATTCCGCACTCGCCTGCGGCTCGTGCGTAAACATTGCTCTCGTGTGCAGCAAAGTGCCACTTTCACCACTAGTTACACAAATAACTATTTCCATAGCTCTTGATGACACTAAAACTCCGGTTCTTGAATGGTTAATTTCCCCTCTCTTGGATTATTGTGAATTATGATTAGTCTATCAGGGTTTGTTAGTCTATTTCTGAGGATGATGGTACAGGTCTCTTATAGACACTGTCTTTTCCTGTCTATTTGGAAGTTTTACATGAACATAACCTGGATTTACTTGGATAAGTTTGAGATCTTCTACAAGTGAGTCATACTTGCTGTACCGGTTGTGCTTTCGCAACAGCACTGGGTTGAAACAGACAGCTCGGAACTGAAACTCCATAATAAGATCTCATGTGGTGAAACATCAGTTCATGTATTGGTTGATGTACAAAATAAAGATCTTATTGAGTGGAGAAATTTATCAGGAAGATCTGTATCCTATACGAGTGAAAATTTAAAAACGTACGTTTTCAGGAAAAGCACTTTTAACATTTTTTGTTCTGTTTTTTGAAACTTTTTTTATTTTTTTTTTATTTCATTGACATTTGAAGTTTCATAAAATGTCCATGGTAACGCAATATCTTTGGTGATTTTTTATTAATAGAGCATCTTTGATGGAAAAACACGAAATTTTGTCACGACCATCACGGACATAAAACTTAATATTAAAAATAGGCTAGTTAATATTATTTTTATAACTATGTTTTGCTATAAATTAATTTACTTTTATTGCCATTATACAATAAACAGCTCACTAAGCTTTTGGTATATTTGGTCTTTCTAGAAAAAAATAAAAAAAAAATTGGAAAAAGCCAATAACATTTTTTAAGTTTGTATTTCTCCGAAAAAAATTACCTGAGACCCGAAAAATTGTTATGTTTTTATAGAGGTGTGCTTCTTTTGTGAATTAAAACATTGAAATATGACGATATTTTAATTTTTGAAATTTTTATGATAGAAATCATAAACGTGATGGTCAGGGACAAGCGGTATGGTCGTGAATTGTCTGGAATAATCTAAATCTTTCTAAACAATCCTTCAATTATACTGTTAGTTATGATAAAAATATGTGTTTCAATTGGACTAAACTGTTCAATTTACAATGATACTTGAGTTATTGTCACGACCAAACACAGTATAAATCCATAAGGCTGGATTGGTCGTGAAAAAGCCCGCGGTCAACACTACTTTGGTCGTGACATTACGAGTTATTTGGCTCTGTTCTGGCGGTAGCCCTGCACCTCATGTTCGAGGATACAAAGTGGACTTCTAGGTTAATGTAGTAATTAAAATATCATATCAACAAAAATTAACACCACGTCTACTTCCATCAAATGACTACGTACGGTCATGAACACCAAAATTACAAAAAACACAAACTTTACCTTTATTAATCTTGTAACTACATCTTTCAACACAAAACGAGCGGCACAACAAACTTGACGTACACCCCGAACTAGTCTCTAAAACGAACTGACGATAATTTTTCCCAAATGGTCGTGACGCCAAATCGATGGACAGATTTATTTTGTCATGGTATTTAGTTTGCAATGACAATAAAATTATAATATGCTCCTTTTTTGTAATTTTAATAACTATTGATGACATAAAAATATGTATATTTATATATTTCGGCATAATTAATTAGTCTAAAAACAGCGTGAAAGTTGGAAAATGTACCCTAGGGACACGTCATGGTCGTGAATTTTGAGACTTTAAAAATACAAAAAAAGTAGTTAGAACCTATTTAAAACCAAATTAATTTTTTTACAATTTGTTTTTCATATACCATATGTTTCAACATGTTTATCTATACCATCCGTTTTGAAATGATTCTTTTCCTTTATTTTTTATCAAGATTATTGTTTTATATATGTTTTACATCAAGCTGATTTGTAAAACAGATAACTTCTCAAGTGTTTGTGTTTGGGTACCGGTACTCTAATTTTGATTGCTTCTCCTTGAGTTTCACTACAGCTTATGTTTGTTAATCTATTTGTGCTACAATTAGAACATAGCTTTTGAGTGCAATATATGTCAACTAAACATTTCCCTGTTATTTACATAGATTTATAGATTTTATTAACTTCTCCTAATTGGTTATTATAACCATGTCTGCAGATCTTACTTGATACTTGGATCTACCATGAACATTGTGTTACTGCTGCTCCTGATGTCTTACGGAGGTCCTGCCATGTCAGCCAGGATCCTTGCTGTCCTGCCAATCCCTGCCAAGAGTCATCACATCCTGTTTAACGCCGTGCTGAGGACACTGGCACAGGCAGGACATCAGGTCGTCAGCTACAGTGGTCTACCAGCCGACCAGGAGGTGGCAAACTTAACTGTTATTCACATGGACAAACTCCTACCAGCTGATAAAACAAGTGCGTATTTTAAATAACGGAATTCAGTAACAACGGGCCTATTTTGGTGCGTAATGTGAACTTAATTCAAATAATAGGTACTTTTTGAATACCATTGAAAAAATTCTTGCTTTATACCTTAGCCACATCACAATGACTAGGATGAGACCATAGAGGAGAAATTTAAAGAGGAAACAATTGCTTGTCCTCTGGTTTTAACCAAAGATAAGTTCATAAAATTTAGAGATTTTACAAATCTACTTACATTGTTCAAAGTCTCTAATATTATTCTTCTCAATTTGAAACTTCTAATTAATAGCTACTGTTAATATCATGTATTATTCTACATTGCAGTGACCAAAGAAACGCTGGAGATGATGTTAAACACGAGTCCAGTGGGATCTACCTCACTTTTGTGGTCAAGATCTAGCGCGTTCATGAAGAATCTAAAAGATAACAAAGACTTTCAGCAGCTTCTTAAATCAAATGAAAAGTTTGATTTGATATTTTTGGAGGCATTATTTGCTCAAGAATCACTTTTTGCCCTCGGTCACAAGTTCAAAGCTCCCATAATCAATCTTCAACCATTCGGAGCTTTCAGTCTTGTAAACAGAGCTAGTGGGAATTCTCTCAACCTTGCTTACATCCCAGATGTCGCTTTTCCATCCTCAAATCACATGTCCTTCTATGAAAGGACACTCAATGCTTACTCAATTTTGAGTACGCTGTTCAAATACTACTTCTATTTTATTCCCTCGCAAGATCAGTATATGAGGGAGTTGTTTAACGACTCTTCGCTACCTCCCTTGTCAGAATTGATGCAGAACTGGTTGGCCTTGACTTTTTCAAATGCACATCCTCATGTTCACTATGCGCAGCCGTACACCCCTAATATCATTCCGATCGGTGGAATACATCTGGCCAAGGAGCAGAACCCACTTCCTGAGGCAAGTATTCAGAGCTCACTGCTGATGTAGGAATATGTGGTGTAATGGTATATTGCCCTGTATGGTTATTTCAATAAATTTATTCTAGTGTGAAATAGATCTTGTCAAATTAATCCATTGTAATTGGTTTTCTAAAATAACCAGATATTCCTTAAATATTCGGATACATTATTTTATGGGTTGCTAAAAGGTATATATCCATTTGTAACATACTATTTGTTTAAATGGCTAAAAAGTACTGTACATCCCAAATTAAGTAATCTGTAAAAGTAACTACTACCTACAGTACTCATAAGTTTCCATTCAGCTGTATCAGGCTATGAGGTCAGTGTGTAGTTGACTGGTGTTGTTGGTTGGACCAGTGTGGTCTCACAGCTGGTCCAAATGTCAAAGTGTGGGACTTCTGTCTAAGAGGATGGGTTCAAATCTCACCAATCAATCACAAGACTTTCAGACATGTGAAAAGGCAATGGCATATTTGTGTGAAGCCCACGTAGATGGCACACACATATGAGTATCTTTGTTGTAAGAGAACTTTTAATGTACTGGTCAGAAGTGTAAAATCCCTCTACCATAGCCTCCTATAATACATAGTGAGCGTTGGTGTTTGGCATCGTTGCATCGGCCGGCCTATAGCCATGGTAGTAACTGGGAATAACAAATGAGTAAAAATAAAAATTTTCCAGAAACTCCATTATGAATTAATACAACAGCTGTTTATGTAGGTCTGAAATGCGGCATTGCCACTTTTGTCTCGCTGCAGCCTTGTATTAGAGAAGGCAATGCTTGAACCATGCGATAATTAACAATGATTATTTAACTAACAAAATGTAAGGTACTAACTAACTTATTACATTAGTGAAACATTATAGAGTTCCAAAAATATTTTCTAGGCAATGAAAAGATTCCTGGATAAGGCATCTGAAGGAGTTGTATACTTCAGCGTTGGGTCTGTAGTCCCAGACCACCTGCTTGATGAAGAATACTTCAACAACTTTCTTGCAGCGTTCAGCCGTCTGCCACAAAATGTTTTGTGGAAAACCAATCGCAACCTTCAAAATCTGCCAAAAAATGTAATGACATTGGAGTGGGTGCCCCAACAAGATGTTCTGGGTAAGTTTCAAATAACTGTGATCTGAACATTCTGAACAGTATTCGGCTTCTAGTTTGAAACACAAGGCTTTTGAGTTTTGGTCTTCATGAGGAGACTGTGTCATTGAACTGGTAAATACTGGTCGATGTTTTTTAAATGTGACTTCAATTCATTAATAAACAAATGCAACTGAAGAATCGTACAACTTTCAGTTGAATGTTAATTCCAAAGATGGCTGGTTGCAGTTAATGATAAACGTATTACTCCGTTGTCTGTGCTTCAACATGTGACAAACGTCAGCCAGTATTTTTTTTAGTTTAGCAATAATTTCCTTAAGGCCAAGTTTGGCAATCCTTAAGCCAACCTTCTAGTTAACCCATTGATTATCTATTCTTTGATCAAGATTACTACCTACTACCGATACCTACTCATGTGTTTTTTATAGTCAATAGTGTAGGATAATTGTGGCCGAGATACATATATATTTTTTCCAAAGGAGTGAATCCGCACGTATAATTATGATAAGTACCAGTACATGTTTCATCATAAAACTCAATTAACCTATTGGGGAAGTAATTAATGCGCTGCCTGCAGCACCTTCTGTCGGCAATTAATTTTACCAGATTTGTAGACTTTTACTCTAATTGTTATAGAAAGAAAACCAAAGGTAATAAATTAATAATTGTTTTGCCATTTTGTTCACAGTAAAATTGTCTATAAATATTGGTAATTTCTTAATTTAAGTGTAAAATAAAATAAAAATTAATTATGAAGATTACCTATAGCCTAAAATAAAAATGTTGAAAACAATTTTTAATAGTAAACTTGATTTGCAAATTCCAAGGTGAATCCAGACACCAAATGACACTACTATTTTAAAGTTCAATTGATTCCCTACTCAGAAAAATCACAAGTTGTTTACTTTTAGGGAATTTCCCATATAGGGAATAAGCTATTACCGTAGGTCTCATGGTAAGACCTGGACCCGGGACCGATTTACTTTTTCGTTTTGATGTCTCTAGAGGCCAAAAACACCATCCGTTCAAATTCATATTTATATATATATATGTGTGTGTGTCCGTTAGCACGATAACAAAATTGATTGTGTCCGAGCAAAATTGATCTGATTTTGATGAAATTTGCTACAAACGTGTAAACCCTGTAAACGTGTAAAAAACTCAAATGGTTTGAATCCTATATTCAAAATAGATACCAGTTTGTTGAAGTGGATGACATCATAGAGCATAATAATATAAATTACATTGAAAAAGTTCAATCTCAGCACCGGACACTGAGATATGGAGTGCCCCAGGGATCGATCCTGAGCCCTCTACCATTTCTTTGTTATATTAGAGGCTTGCCTGGGACTATTCTTGGGAGTGGCGGATCCATTTGTCTGTATGCTGATGACTCTAACATCCTCCTTATTGGAAATTCTAATTCTGAAATCAAAACATCCTCTTCAAAAAATCTTCCAGTAACTCATGAATTTTTAAATGAAAAATCTCATAAATTCAAATAAATCAAACTTTATATATTTTTCCACAAAACAATTTAAAAAAAATTTGAAGCAGACATTTTTATTAAAAAAGGACAAAATCCAACACAAACAAATTTTTACAAATTTTTATAAGTAGAACAAACTTAATTTCTTGGATTAATAATCGATGAAAATCTTACTTGGAATCATGTTAAACATGTTGTAAGAAAATTGTGTTCTGTTCTATATTGAAACCAATGTTAAAAATTATTCTTAAAGATTCAATGATTATAACCGTACCAATACTATGGTATTACATTTAGTACATGTAAAGACAATAAATAAAAGTCCAAGGTTTGTACGAGAAAATTATTGCATGGATCAAATTTGGAAGAGCTCTTTTACCTCATCAATTGTACATGAAGAGTTCATTTGTCTGCAGCTCATCCTAACGTGAAAGTGTTCATGACTCACGGAGGGATGTTTAGTCAACATGAAGTGATTAGAGCTGGAGTCCCAGTAATCTGCACTCCTTACTTCGGCGATCAACCCATGAATGCCAAGTTCTACGAGGAGAAAGGAATTGGAGTCGTTCTGCCTTTCAAATCCTTATCAGAAGAAACAATCTTATCAGCACTAACAACAGTTCTTAATGATAAAAAGTAAGTGTTTTGAATTTTTCCTCTTAATATTTTTTTCTGTCAACTGTAGCCTACTACAGGGTGGGGCAGAGTGGACTCCCTGATTTGATCGGTTAACTGTATAAAAACCATACAAGATTATTACAAAAGCTTTTTATTTCTGAAATCTAAATACAATGCCATTTATTTTTCATTAAGTTTTAAAAATGATATCGTCCAGGTGAATACCTTGACGAGCAATGCACATATTCAGCCGTTCAATGAAGTTTTCAAAAACTCTACGCAGCATATCTGGCATTATTCCAGTGATAACATCAACAATTGCTTCCTTAAGGGCTTCCAAGGTCCTTGGTCGAACTTTGTAAACCTCAGTTGCAGATTCGGTCACCCGTACACTTGTAATCCATTTCCTTAAGATTTTAGCATCGGGAACACTATCATGACAATTCAAACCAAACCTTCTACGAAATGCACGCTGGGTCGCCACCACAATATCCTTATTTTTAAAGAACGTTTTGACTACAAAACCACGATGCTCGCCAGTTTATGGCATGGTGACTACTAACAATGGCGTCTTTCCCCCCACCACATGAAACCTCTCCCACTCCGCTAACTCGCGCGCACGCTCTTCAGTGACTGATTGAAACTAGGGAGTCCTCTCTGCCCCACCCTGTATAAGTAAGGAAAATATGTATTTCCGAGCACAGGACTCACTATGCATGGTCGTCCATACAACATTTCCATAGGGGGACCAAGGAGTCTGGGAGGTACGGAATAACCCTCATTAAAGAAGAATCTGGAATTGTTAAAATTTGAGTACATTTGCGACTATCCGAGCCCTGATAATCCAAGCCCCGGTTATCCAAACCCTTTTCTTATCCAACCAACGTCAACATCCTCCTGAGATTAACCTGAGATCAACCCCTCGGGACCCCCCTTGCCCATATTTATGGACGCCCATGTCACTATGGCCTCGGTGCTAACATTGGGAATGAGCAGGAGCCTACCCCCACTCCGTCCTCCACAACCCCACCAGGCAAGGCCAGGTTGGCGGGTCTTCAAGAAGAGTAGGGGGGGTCCAGGGTGGAGGAGAAGGGTTAGGCTCCTGCTCATTCCAACAGTTTCTACAAAATTTATCTAAAACTTCAACGGAACGATTTTGCTGTCAGTTTTTATCAGTTTTCACATAGGGAATATGCTGTCTGTCTCACACTAAATCCTAGCCATGGGACTGGTTTGCTTTATTTGTGATTTGAGCAGAGGCCAAAAACAACCAGTCAAATTTATTTATAAATTTGCATATGTATCCTTTAGCACGATAACTCAAGTATGATCCAATTTTGATGAAATTTACTAACGATGTGCAAACCTAGGTGTATACAAACAAGTTTACAAACCAGCTTGATCAAACTATGGGAATTAATGGGTTTTTAAGGAGGGGTTCCCCAATTTTTACTCTCAATTTTTCTGAGCCATTATTTAGAGGTTAAAAACAAATTATTAATATGTTTTAATCATCAACAATGGTCATTCAAGTGATGCTACTGTGTATATCCAGGTACAAGGACAACATGTTGAAGATGTCTATGATCTACCAGGATCGCCCTGTCAGTCCCACAGACACACTCCTATACTGGGTAGACTATGTCATGCGCCATGCTGGGGCTAAGCATCTTACACCAGCTGCAGCTGCAATGCCCTTCTATCAAGTTTATCTACTGGATGTAATTGGACTTGTTTCTATAGTACTTGTCACAACCTTAACATGCATTTATGTTATCATCAAACGGATTTTAGGAGTGTTTACTAATAATGGACAGTTGAGTAGTCAAAGCAGATTGAAAGGTGAAAGAAGTAAGAAACTGGACTAAGTTACACTTTTACAGTCCAAGTAGCGACCGTTGCCTTTTGGTCTTCAGAAGATGATTGTGTCGTTGTTGAAATGGAGATGAGTTGCATCAAATCCATATTCAGGTCAAGCTACATTGCAACCTTAGTTTGGTTGAATTCAGTTGATTACAACTTAGTTGAACAGTAGATTGTCTTCATAATGGACTGCTACAACTCATACAAAGCATGAGCCAGTATTACTGCCAGTCCAACAAAGTGTTCTTCTCCCAAATAAGGCCAATATTTGACTAAATATTTAATTAAACTTTGTCACAAGGAATGGTTAAAAAATGTGAATAAGTTATTCAAAAGTTAGCAATACAAGTTAACAAACGGAAGGGCTTCTAATGCATTCGCCTTGGGTTTCAATTTTAGTCCAAATTATTTTGAAACTATGCATTATTTTTATCCAGGCTTTTAAACTTTAATTTAAGATTCTATTTTAATTGCAACTTTATACTGGTTAGTCTTATTTTTATTTCCCTTAATAGGCTAGCATACATCAAATTTTATCATAAAAACAATTTTTTACTAAAAATTACAATAAAAAAAGTAATACTTCTACACCATTGTTGGTAAAAAAAAACTTTATTTGATGAGATTATGTCAAATGAATAATGTTTAAGAGGCTGTTTGGATTTTTATATGATTTTTAGCAAAGGGAAAAATATATTACTACCAAAAAGGTATCATGGTAAAACCTAGACCTGGGACCGAAATTATATTTTGTTTTTTGTGTCCCCCAGAGGCCAAAAACACCATTAGTTTAATATAGCCTACAGGGTTGAAGTACAAGAAGACTCTTGTAGTATTAGCATAGATAAAATGAAGATACAGATAGATAAAGTGAGATAGATAAAGATAGATAAGATAAAAGTGTAAAAGGTGTAAAAGTGTAAAAAGTGTAAAAGGTAGATAAAAGTGTCTACTCCTTTTTTCTATGGTATTAGTTACTCCCTCCCACACACAGAAGTTTTAATTTTCTTTTTGGTGTGGATATTTCTTCACAAGATAAAGCAAACTGTTTTTTATTAGTTAACTAGCAATAATTTTTGATTACATTTTAAGTTATAAATAATTTGTTTCATAAATCGTTGTAATTTTATTGTATTACTTGTGAAGAAATAAAGATTTATTATTATTATTATTTATTATATTAAAGATGCCACTCAAGCTGGCGAAAAGCATAGTATGACACAAACTGTACCTACTCAAGAACTACACAGGCAACAACAACTATGGTAATCCTTTCCAATCCGAAGTTAGACTCTTAGGTACAGAGCATACATATTTTTAGGGATTTCCACTGGGGGACAGTAGACTTACCGGGGGTTGTGCAAAAAGGGGGTCCGAGGGTTCCCTCTTGTTGTGATATTTAATGTTTAAAGCCTGTTTCTTAATCATATGTTTAATTTTGTATGTTAGTGTTTTCAAGTTTTTGTAAACAACAACATTATGTCTGATTTTTATAATGAACTAGCTGTAACCCGCGGGCTTTGCCCCGTTTAACTTCTTAATTTTCAAGATTATCTCGTTCGCATGGCTCAATCACGTCCTGGTTGAAGTTTGTTCGCTACGCTCACTCACCTTTAGGTTGGAGCTCGTTCGCTGCGCTCACTTGCCTCCAGGTTAGCTCGTTCGCTACGCTAACTCGCCTCCAGGTTGAAGTTCGTTCGCTACGCTCACTCACCTTTTGGTTGCAAAGTAGCTGTTGTCATAAATGTAAAAGAAATAATAGTGCTGCACCCTGTTGGTAATCCATTGAACATCATAGAACAGAAAACAGAACCAACTTGTTTAATTGAAACAGCTGTTAAGATTCAATAATTCCATTTCTCATAAGGTTAACATGTGAAACGCCAGAGCCACTGGGGCGGAGCCCGAAAGGATTTTTGAAATAAGAATATGCCTATATGTTAATCGGGAAGGTGAGCTATCATCATGCCAAATTTCAGCCCAATCCGACCAGTATTTTTCGCGTTCACTTGTCACAAACATACATCCATACATACATCCAAACTTTCTCATTTATAATATTAGTAGGATAAAAGCCATATTTTGGTTACTCTTGTCTTTATTTACAACAGACATTTTTGGATAAATTTAAGTGAAATCACATATTGCTACGTAGCTTTTAATGAATTTTTTGATTAAATTGCTTGTAAATATAGTTAAATAGTCCATATAATCTCACTTAATTATGTACTCTAGAGCGTTGTAACAAGTCAAGGCTCCCATCACAACCTCTTGGGCCACAATCATAGCTCATTACTTTAAAATATTTACATACCGTATTTTTTTTTAATTCCGATACATTTAAAATGTGAATCATTAAAAAAAATATGCTGGCACCACCAATAGTTACTGGGCGACACAAGTGCCCTGCTGATTTTATGCCCTGCTTAGGTAGGATTGCCTCAAGACTCAAACTTGGACCTTTGCTGTTGTTCATTTCATTTCATTTTGTTCATTGATCATGTAAAATACCTTATAGTTGTGAGTTTTTATTATCAATTTAAAAATTAATATCATGTTTTTTTGGCCCTATGTTATTTCTCTATAAATAACATAAAAAAAGGTAACTTACCTCTTTTGTCCAGTTCTATTCAAATTTGATATTTTTTCATGTCTAATTTAATTATAAGTATTGACAGCTTATATCATTTTACAATAATAATGAAAATGTCAATTACAATACTGTATCACGGTCAATGATTCAACAATAGCCCTTCACTCGTACTTTTACTAGTTTTACAGGCTCTGAGCTTGATATCAGTGAAGATCTTCACGACTATTTCCACAAGGGTTGACTTCAGAGTTAATTAAAACCTACCTTTAGGTCAATTAATAATGAGTATAGTTATAAGATGGATTGCATGAATCAAAAAACATTCATGCATTCATCACTCCTTTAAATCACTTATGATTGGTAAAACCATGAATACTTGAACAGAACCGGAAATCATAAACATAAAAATATGACGTTGCTGGCCCAAATCCTATACTAATAGAATCAACATAATGGTTTAGACAGTTCCAACACTTTAGCAATGTTAAATATAATGTTTACTTTCGGGCCAGAAACCATTTGTTTATGATCCATACCAGTTCTGTTTATAAGTATTTGTGGGTGAAACCAACTTCAAAAGTATAAAAAGAAATATGAATACCTACAAGGTAGTCCTATGCTAAAAAACAAGTAGGTACATGATTTAGAAGCAACTCACAGTAGAATAGAAAACGCACTATAAATCAATTTAGCACTTAATATGCAACTCTGTCAAGTGGGTTATATCTGGTCACTTACCGTATCTATAGCTTGTAATCCACGTCATTCCTGTTGTAAACATTGACACTGACTATATTCCACAACACTTCTATGGTGAGCTCATGGAAAACTAATGCAAATTACCATAGTTGCTTAGTTACTTGAGCTATGTAATCAACTACTACTTGATTGGTTTTGTTCACAGAGCATAGAATAAATATAGAGGCGACACTTGCCGTCTGGAGTGAAGCAGGCTTCTCGCACCAAGATGGCGGCCGGCCCGGTCTGCATTTACATTTAAACCATTATATTGTTACCATTTAAACCACCTATCAATATTTACTTTTAAAACTCTCACCTCAGAACTTTGAAAGGCTGCAGGGCAGAGTCCTAGGTCAATATCGAGGGGGGGATAGTTCTATATGTATCCTCGGAGCGGTAGCTTCATCAAATTCATAAAGTAGCATCGAATAACACAGTGGTAATGACACCGTGTTTTCCAATTTCCGAGCCCTACTCTCTTACCAAGATGGCGGAAATCGGCTTCACTACTGGTATGACTGTAGGTATAGGAGCGGGGACTCTATATTTATTCTATGTTCTGTGGTTTTATTACTATCAACATTAAATTATGAATTAGTTGTCGTTGGGGTGTGGAAGGGCGTATTGCGTGTATGTGTGAGTGAATTATAATATTTTTACCATGTTTTAAAAAGGTTTCTACCAATTTTGTAATAATGTCTATAAAATTGTTTTATTCTACAGTTTAAAGTTTATAGGTAAAAACTATAGTGGTTATTCAAACAGTAGTAGTTTAAATACAATAGATGTTTAGAAAATATTAATTTAGATTAAAAACATTTATCCTAGATCTGAATATTTATGAAGAAACTAAAACAGTAAATAAAATCTCAAGAAGCAGATTAAATAAACAAGTCTTTATTTGTTGATGTTATCGTAACATTAACAGTCTTAACTATCTCCATTTTAAAACTCTACAATCCCTAAAGATTACAATATGTAACTTTCTCATGATGATGTTTATTTATTGAATTACATGTCAGCACAGCACATCATATAAATGATAGGATACATTGTTCACCTAATGGTAATGGTAATGGTTAAATATAAGACTTAAAACTAATAAGAGACATTGGTCTTTTTACAAACACAACTGAACATTCCAGAAGTATAATAGGAAAATAATTTATCTATTTGGGGTGAATGGACTCCAGCAGCCCTTTAAATAGTCTAAATTTAGTTTTGAGCCTGTTTTTGGTAAAGTCTAAACTTTGAAACATTTTCTAGGGTACCTACCATGAACTATTGGTCAGTTTTGTTAAGGAAGGGCTCTAGGCCAGGATTTTTAATTGTAGAATAAGTAGGATATCAGCTAGCTTACGGTACCTCAACGAAGTACAGGTATGCCATAGAAAATATAGAAGAGGCAATAAACACACTATATTTCGTCCCCGGGGGACTTAAAAAATTGAAAACAACTGCAAATGCAAGCAAATAGAGTCCACTTTGTGGACTCTTGTATTGCTAACTTTTTAATATACACATTTTTATCTAGTCCTCATTACAAAAATGTAATGCAAATTTGGTTGAATTTGGGAAAAGAAAATTATGTTGAACTGGCAGTAATACTGGCTGACATTTGAATAAGCTGCAGCAATCCATTTTTAAGACAATCTACTGTTCAACTAAGTTGTATTCAACTGAATTCAACCAAACTGATGTTGCAATGTAGCTTGACCTGTATAATGGATTTGATGCAACTCATCTCCAATTCAACAACACAATCATCTTCTGAAGACCAAAAGGCAACGGTCTACTTGGACTGTAAAAGTGTAACTTAGTTCAGTTTCTTACTTCTTTCACCTTTCAATCTGCTTTGACTACTCAACTGTCCATTATTGGTAAACACTCCTAAAATCCGTTTGATGATAACATAAATGCATGTTAAGGTTGTGACAAGTACTATAGAAACAAGTCCAATTACATCCAGTAGATAAACTTGATAGAAGGGCATTGCAGCTGCAGCTGGTGTAAGATGCTTAGCCCCAGCATGGCGCATGACATAGTCTACCCAGTACAGGAGTGTGTCTTTGGGACTGAGAGGGCGGTCCTGGTAGATCATAGACATCTTCAACATGTTGTCCTTGTACCTGGATACACACAGTAGCATCACTTAAATTACCATTGTTGATGATTAAAGCAAATTAATACATTTTAAAAACCCTCATTTTGAACTCAAAACAAAATCCTTCTCAAGATTAACTTCAAGCAAATAACTTCAAGATTAATTTTGCAATCATTGCTTGTATTGGATTATAGAATAGGATGTTAGTAGAAAAATTGCTATAGACATACCAGAAACAAAAGAACCCTGGGCCATTTCAAGACGCGCAGGTTTGAAGGGTACGCTACACCTACCGGCGCAAACCACGTAATCTTTTCGTTTCTGCGCAGGTTGTTTTGTTCTTGGGATGTCTATATTTCCTGGCACAGGGGTCAATCTGGGCTCTCCTGGCTCCCACCACCACTCTGGCCTCGCCCAGTGGAGTTGTGGGGATCAGGGGAGTGGTGGAGAGGGGGCAGGCTCCTGTCCTTCCTCATTAGCCCCATAAGTGCCCAATACATATTTCCCCTAAACAAAATACTTACTTGGGATCATCAAGAACTTTTTTTAGTGCTGACAAGATTGTTTCTTCTGATAAGGATTTGAAAGGCAGAACGACTCCAATTCCTTTCTCCTCGTAGAACTTGGCATTCATGGGTTGATCGCCGAAGTAAGGAGTGCAGATTACTGGGACTCCAGCTCTGATCACCTCATGTTGACTAAACATCCCTCCGTGAGTCATGAACACTTTCACGTTAGGATGAGCTGCAGACAAATGAACTCTTCATGTACAATTGATGAGGTAAAAGAGCTCTTTCAAACTACATCAATTCTATATTTTTCTTGTATTATCCTTAGCCATTTATTGTCTGTAAGGTAACTTAATTGCATCCACTAAACGGATCACGTATATTGGTACCACCACCGGCTAAATACTATAATTATTGGCCAATTGGTAGCTAAAAATAATAAAAAACACAGTCAAGAACAACTAACTTTAATACATACTAAAAAAAAAAAAAAACACACAAATAACTTGAACTTGAACTTTGAAATAACTTGAATCTGTTAATTTCACATCATAATTTAACTTGTCAAATATTTCATTAATTAGAGGCTGGGAAAAAGGTAACAACGCAATGAGATGTTCACGATTTTGCTGTGGTCGCTAGCGTTGAAGATGATGTCCCCGTGATTGTCACGGGATATGATTATGATTTCACCGCAGTCGCGAGTGTGGATGATGTCCCTTTGTTCCAGCCCGCGGGGTATGTTCATGATTTTGTTGCCATCACGGATACCTATGATGGCTTTGAGTTGATTTATGAGAGATATCCACAATTTCATCAACGATCACAGGTGTCGATGATGATGTCCCCTTGATGCATTGGAGATATTAACGATTACTTCTGCGATCGCAAGGAATTTCCACTACAGGGGGAGGGGCCGCTCAAGTAATTTGGCCTAGGGCCGCAAGTACCCTAAATGCGGCACTGATGGCCCTTCGTTGGCAATTGGTGGTGTGACCCAACGGAGGCAAGTTGGCCAATACACATCGTTGGCCAACCATGGGAGACAGTTGTAGGGCCAACCAATCCGCAACAATTTTTGTTGATAGGTACCGAGTAATACTTCTGTAAGTACTGTTTTGTCTTTGGCTGCAACAAATCTGTCTTTGGTATTAATTATCATTCAAATGAGGGTTTAATGATTCTTCAGTTGCATTTAGCGTGCTCTTAAGATGGATTAGGGTTACGCATCAGAAAAGTCAGCAGCATTTTTACAAATTCAATAACAAAGAGGTCATTTCTTAAAATCCAAGATTTTGTAGCCTTTTTTTTTAAGTAGCCAAGTTGCAATTTGTTGAAATCCTATTTATTAGAAACTTACCCAGAACATCTTGTTGGGGCACCCACTCCGATGTCATTATATTTTTTGGCAGATTTTTAAGGTTGCGTTTGGTTTTCCACAACACTTTTTGTGGCAGACGACTGAAAGCTGCAAGAAAGTTGTTGAAGTATTCTTCATCAAGCAGGTGGTCCGGGACTATTGACCCAACGCTGAAGTATACAACTCCTTCAGATGCCTTATCCAGGAACCTTTTCATTTCCTAGAAAATATATTTAGGAACACAATTTTTCACTCATGTAGTAGGCTACCGACAAATTTAGGTGGTAAACCTTCAATTTCTTTGTTCAAAAGACCATTATTAATTACGGTATGGGTTTAAATGGAGGGTTTTATATTTCTGACAAATACATGAGTTTTTCAATTATGACTCCTAACCCTTTTAGGATATTTGCCATATAAGAATACATAGGCCCAGGATCAATTTACTTTTTCATTTTAATGCCCACAGTGGCCAAAAACAGCATCCATTGAAATTCATATTCATGTATAAGCCTGTTAGGCACAATGACTCAAGTAAAAATCATCCAACTCTCATGAAATTTGGTAAAATATGTAAACCTACCATTGTTCAAACGTGCTTGCAAACCAGCTTGATTGGACAAAAGTAATGGGGATAAAAATTGGTTTATTGGTTTATCCCATTTTTGACTCCCAAAACATGAAATTTTTCCATTTTTTCAAACCATTTTAAAGCTTAATAAAACAAATAAAATAAATAAATTTAAGTGTTGTTGTACGTCAAATGGTTATAAAGAAACATTTAAAAAACTTGAAATTCAAAATTCCCATGTTATTCTTATGGAGAATAAATAACTCCGCAGTTTGCTTCTTTATGGATGAATTACATATTTTGATCATAGTCAGCCAAAATATTTTTTGTTATAGGCTTTATCACATTGTCTTTATTATGTGATAGTTGGGATTTGATCTAATAATCCTCTTAGACAGAAGTACCATACTTTGGGACATTTGGACCAGCTGTGATACCTTAGGCCTACTGGTCCAACCACAAACACCAGTCAACTACATACTGTGCTCAGAGCCTGATACAGCTAAATGTAGTAAACTTATGATTACAGTAGGTAGTTACTTTTACAGATACGTGTGACACATGATTTGGGATTATAGAACTTTTTAGGAACTAAAAAAATAGTAAGTTATAAATGGATAAACCTTTTAGCAACCCATAATGTAATTGGATGTACAATAAGGTAGAAGGTACAATTGGTTTTTTAAATAAGGGCCGTTTTGTTGTATATAATTACAAAGTCGGTTGTACGACACAATGAGGCTACTCGCCACTTAATATTTGTATAAAGAATTAGGTACGCAATTTGCAGCTCTGTAGCTGGCTTGTATTCATCGCTGTGTGTTTTAAAAAATTTTTGGATTATCGAACCTCACTAAGGCTATGTCCCTAATGCAATGAGTGAGGGTAAAGTGTGGAGGGTTATAGAGTCGGAAAGTGAAAATGGCCGTGAAAACCTTTTACTTTCTGGTCTTCTGTGAGATGTCTAACCCACCAGAAACACAATTCGCTTCTGAAATTAACATTTTCACGGTAATTTTTTAACTCCCAAGTCTGTTACTGTACTTTCCCAGCTATCATTGCATTAGGGTCAAAAACTTAAGTCATCTGACGACGAATTTCAGCATCGGATATTGTTCTTGTGGTCAAAAACGTATCACTGACTCACACTCGGTCGGAGATTCGATAATCCAAACATTTTTTTAATATAGCAAAGCACGTGTAAGCTAGCGTACACATTAGCTACAGAGCTCTAAATACCTCATTCCGTTCACGAATGATGCCAGTAAGTGGCAAGGAGCCTCATTGCAGAGTACAAGGGAACTACGGATTCATACGTCAAAACAACCCTTACACAAAAACCGCTCTCGTATAAGAAAAATTTAATCAGATTTATTTTTCATGAAGCCTCTAGATTTCACACTTGAATAATTTTACTGAAATGACCAAAATTACAGGGCGGTGCACCATTATGCATAACATTCCTACAACCTCTACAGTAAGTTGTGAATACTTGCCTCAGGAAGTGGGTTCTGCTCCTTGGCCAGATGTATTCCACCGATCGGAATGATGTTGGGGGTGTAAGGCTGCACATAGTGAACATAAGGATGTGCATTTGAAAAAGTCAAGGCCAACCAGTTCTGCATCAATTCTGACAAGGGAGGTAGCGAATAGTCGTTAAACAACTCCCTCATATACTGATCTTGCGAGGGAATAAAATAGAAGTAGTATTTGAACAGCGTACTCAAAATTGAGTAAGCATTAAGTGTTCTCTCGTAGAAGGACATGTGATTTGAGGATGGAAAAGCGAAATCAGGAATGTAAGCAAGGTTGAGAGAATTCCCACTAGCTCTGTTTACAAGACTGAAAGCTCCGAATGGTTGAAGATTAATTATGGGAGCTTTGAACTTGTGACCGAGGGCAAAAAGTGATTCTTGAGAAAAAAACGCCTCCAAAATTATCAAATCAAACTTTTCATTGGATTTAAGAAGCTGTTGAAAATGATTTTTATTTTTCATATTTTCGATAAATGAGCGAGATTTCATCCACAAAAGTGAGGTAGATCCCACTGGACTCAAGTTTAACATCATCTCCAGCATTTCTTTGGTCACTGCAATGTAACAAGGTAGATTAATACATGAAAACACACAGCATGACATGAACAAGAATGACTGTATACAGCATGTATATATATGAAGTAATTTTATATTGTAGACAAAATTTTGCAGACTTACCTCTATTAGGTGAATGCCACTCCTACAATACAAGAAATAGGGGTACTATTGCAGCACCTGCCCATAGACTAAGTCTATATGAAAAGAAAACTACCTATGCTGGAGGTAAATTCTATAACAAACTTCCTGATCACATTAAGAAAGAAAATATTTTTTTTTTCAAATTTATTAAACATTTGAAGTACCACTTGTTGTCACTACCTCTATACTCTTTAGAAGAATATATGTTAAACTAGCTGTACCCGCGGGCTTCGCCCCGTTTAGCTTCATAAGTATTCGCATAGCTCATTCACGTCCTGGTTGAAGTTCGTTCGCTACGCTCACCTTTAGGTTGGAGCTCGTTCGCTGCGCTCACTTGCCTTCAGGTTAGCTCGTTCGCTACGCTAACTCGCCTCCAGGTTGAAGTTCGTTCGCTACGCTCACTCACCTTTTGGTTGGAAATTAGCTGTTGTCATAAATTAAAAAAAAAAATTAATAGTGCTGCACCCTGTTGGTAATCCTTGTAACTTTTATGCTATATTGAACATCATAGAACAGAACCAACTTGTTTAATTGAAACAGCTGTTAAGATTCATTAATTCCTTTTAAATTTGAAAAATCATAAGATTAATATGGGGAACTACAGAGCCACTGGGGCGGAGCCCGAAAGGGTTTTTGAGATAAGAATATGCTTTTATGTTAATCGAGAATGTGAGCTATCATCATGCCAAATTTCAGCCCAATCCGTCCAGTAGTTTATGCGTGATTGAGCAACACACACACAAACACACACACAAACACACACACAAACATACACACAAACTCACAAACTTTCAGATTTATAATATTAGTAAGATTAGTGTTTTTTTTAAATTTCTATTAGACTTGATTTCTTTATGTTAAGTTTTAGATATAGTTTTTGATGCCATTCCATGTACTGTATGTACAATATGAAATAAAGACTATTTGATTTGATTTGATGAAGGTTAATAATTAGAAGTTACAAATTGAAAAGAATAATACCAAATATTTTAAACAATGGGAGTGATTTGTAAATTTTTAGTCTGTTTTAAGGTTTGTTTCATAACGCCAACTTTTGAGTGTCCACTTATATCTGTTATTTATGTAGATTTATAAATTTTATGAATTCATCTTAGGTCATAACCAGAAGGCAAGCAATTGTTTTCAAATAGTTTTGCTATATTTAGTTACAATTGTTATTAAATACCAGTGACTTTTGTATAGTCAAGTATGACCCCATGTAAATCAACCAACTTAAGCCACTTAAAAATAGAAAATTTGAATATATCTTTCAATACATTTATTCCACATATAGTAAATTACGTACATAAGTATAGTATAGTTTATAGGCATCATGTAAGCTGTATATGTCTGCACACATAAGAGAAATTACGAGAGTTCAACAAAGAAGACAAAAGATTTGACAATTAAGAAATCTAAGCCTAGACACTATAGTGATTGGTAAAACTACGAGGATTGTCAAGGGTTAAAGGTAATTTTAACCCTTATTTAGTCTCAATTTTCAATCTAGGAGGCAAATAATATCAATAAAAGAGTTGATTGAGGGAATGAGCCATTTCCAACACTTGATGATTATTTATATGACATGAAACATAGTACAGCATATAGTTTCAAATTCTACATAATTCAGAACTAACACCAGAAAGATCTGTATGGGGCTCAATTCAGCGATGCTAATTTTCATTTTGGAAGCAATGGAATGTCTGTAGTTGTAGAAAATCCTGAACAAAGGAAACTATAAATGTCCAAATTAGCCCAGCCGTATCTTTTATGTTTGTCTCATCTAGTCATTGTGATATGGCGAAGGTGTTAAGTACATACTTGGCTTAAAATACCTACTTTGTATGGTCGCCATTTCTATAAAAAGTATTAAAGTACAGCAAGAATATTTTCAAGGGTACCTATTCAAAAAGTATTCAAATTAAGCTCAGAATACAAACCAAATATTGTAACTGATATTTTTGTTCTTTGAAATACGCACTTGATTTATCAACTGGTTGGATATTGTCCATGTGAATGACAGTTAGGTTTGCCACCTCCTGGTCGGCTGGTAGACCGCTGTAGCAGACGACCTGATGTCCTGCCTGTGCCAGTGTCCTCAGCACGGAGTTAAACAGAATGTGATGACTCTTGGCAGGGATTGGCAAGACAGCAAGGATCCTGGCTGACATGGCAGGACCTCCGTAAGACATCAGGAGCAGCAATAACACGATGTTCATGGTAGATCTACTGACGTGATCAATGTAAGTCAAGTGACATATTTGAATTACTAGTGTACCGGTTGCTCAAAATCGAGCTATTGCTAAGTTATTTGATAACGTAGTGCATTCAAAATAAATAACTCTCACAATAATTTTAAAATAATCCTTAAGATTTGACTTAAATACTAAGTATCTTATGTTACTCTCTCTGTTAGTAAAATCTCTAAAGCTCTTTCTAAACAATATTTATAGGTGTATATTTTTTTATATTGTATATTTTTTGTAACTTTTTGGGAGTTGGCGTTTTGTTTATTGGTGTTTTACAAAAATCTTTTTCCTACAGTCACCTGACAAAGCCGGCTTCCTTGCACATATTATAGTACAGAAAGCCTTACTCTTGGAGCAAAAGCCCCCCACACACTACCAGACCAGACCGTCTGGCTGCAACCAGACTGTCTTGGACGGCTCTACACACTCCCAGACCAGACGGTCTAACATTCGTAATCGAGAGACCGTGGTGAGAACTCCAACAAATGGATGAAGACTGTCACGATGGTCGGCCGTCTGCGTCTGACAGACAGCGCTACACACTCACAGACCAGACAAAAATAGTGGTGGGGGAACCTCAGACCGTCTGTGGTCTGAGGGTTCAACCATCAGACACGCAGACCGTCTGGTCCGAGAAAATCGGTCTGCAGATAGCCCCACACACGATAAGACAAGTGCCAGACTCCAGACCAGACGGTCTGGTCTGTAGGTCTGGTCTGGTAGTGTGTGGGGGGCTAAAGTTTTGACTTTGACGCACACCAGTATTCCAACCAAACAACACAAAATAGCGTACTTTTATTATGCACATAATTCTGTACACTTGAAAATAAGTTGGCAACTGTTGAAGCAATATAAAAATATATAAAAATATAATACACTAACTCAATTATTATTCTATGTTTAACTAAAGACTGTTTCATATGTTTATAAAAGTTGTTGTTATGTTGGCATAGCAACTTCCTAGTTGGAGAAAACAATTTATGTGCTTATGAGTTGTACAAGTTTGTAAGTGTTCTGTTTTAAAGTTATAAAATAAAGTATTGTTTATTTGAAGAGTCAAGTATTATAATTTAAATAAGGTCCACAGATTTAACCTCAACAGGTTATGGGCCCAGACACTGATTGGTAAGCAATATTTTAATTTAAATTGATGAAAATGTCAGGTCATGTACTGTAGGACTAACAGCCTACTAAGTATATTGAAATGAAGGTTTGTGGTTGTGAAATATAGAGAAATGCATGTTGCATGTTTGATTTCTTGCTAAACCAACGTTTATGCTTGATTAAATGTCAGTAATGGAGGCTACTCCTAATTGTGTTAAATTGTCCAACGACAATTGGAACATTTGGAAGTTTCAAACCACAGTAACCTTGAAAGCAAAAGGCTTGTACAATGTAGTAGTAAATGATGAGAAAATGCCTGAAGAAGGTGATGATAAGTATGATAAACTCCTTGCTGAGTATAATAGTAAAGATTGTAGAGCCCAAGACATAATAGTTTCTAGACTTGGTGAAAATGCCATATCCCATGTGTTAATGTGTAAAAACTCTTCTGAAATCTGGTCTAAACTTTTAACAGTATATGAAAGGAAAAGTGAGTTGAGTCTGCACCTTCTTCAACAGAAGTTTTTTAGTTTAAAATTTAATAGTAATGAAACTGTATCTCAGTACTTATCGAGAGTTGAAGAGATTGTCAATCAGATTAAACAGTTAGGTGAAGTTATTTCAGAAAATATGGTAATAACGAAAGTAATTATGTCCCTTCCTACGAATTATGCACATTTTGTAAGCGCTTGGGAATCTGTCCCAACTGAGAGTAAAACTTTAAGTAACTTAACTGCTAGACTACTTGTAGAGGAAGAACGAATTGAATCCAAAACTAGTGACTTGGATAATGAAGCTAGTTCTGCATTTGCTGCAGGTAGTTTGAAGAGTGGGCAATTTTTAAATAAAAGTAGGTCTACACCTAAATGTTTTGAATGTGGTAAGATAGGTCATGTTAAATCTCAGTGTTTTAAATTGAAGTCTGCAGGAAGAGATATGTCAGAAATAAAATGTCATTTTTGTAACAAGACTGGACATATTAAGAAAAACTGCTATAGGTTCAAGGCTGAGCAAAATCAAAGGAGCAAAAGTGGTAAAAGTGATTCATCTAGAAAATCTGAAGCTTTTACAGTATTAGGCTTAAGTTCAACAGATTTTACTGATTTAGATTACAACACTTTTGAAGATTGGTTTCTTGATACAGGAGCATCAGAACACCTATGTTGTAATAAGGAATTGTTTGAAACTTTTAAATTACTCAAAGAAGACCGTTTTGTAATTTTTGGTGATGGAAAAATGTCCAAAGCTGAAGGTATTGGTGATATTAAGTTGAAGTCAGTAATAAGTAATGAAGATAAAATTTCTGTAACTCTAAAAGATGTGTTATATGTACCGGAAATGAAAGTTAATCTCTTCTCTGTGAGCTCAACACTAGATAAGGGATATTTTATGAGCACAAATAAAAATGAAGCTAAAATCATGAACAAAGACAATGAAGTTTCTGCTGTGGCTAAACGTTATGGAAAACTGTATAAGATGCAATTTTCATTTGACAATAAGTCTGTACCTGCTTATGTACAATTAAGTGAAGATAACAGTCTAAAGTTATGGCATGAAAAAATGGCTCATCAAAATTGTCGTCAAGTAAAAGAAATACTGGAGGCAAGTAACGTTAAGGTTATAAATAAACCTAATGAAGAATTCTTTTGTGAACCGTGTGTCCTTGCTAAACAGAAACGCTCAAGTTTTAAGACTAGTCCAAACAAGTCAACAGAAATTGGACAGATAATTCATGCAGATCTTTGCGGACCAATGGAAGAAAATTCTATTGGTGGTTCCAAGTATTTTTTGTTGCTAAAAGATGATTTTTCACACTATCGATTTGTTTACTTTCTAAAGACAAAAGATGAGGTATTTGGCAAATTAAAAGAGTTAATTCGTCATGTTGAAAATCAAATAGGAAAAACATTCAAAGTGCTACGAACGGATTGTGGAACTGAGTTTGTAAATAGAGAAGTTGAAGATATGTTGTCAAGTTTAGGTATCAAGCATGAGAAGTCAGCTCCCTATTGTCCTGAACAAAATGGTTCTATTGAAAGAGAAATGCAAACCATAGTTAATTCTGCTAGGGCTATGATGTCAGCAAAAGGACTAAATAAGAAGTTTTGGGCAGAGGCAATCAACACAGCTGTATACGTCCTAAACCGAGTTGGGAAGAGTAGTGTAAAGGACAGTACACCATATCAGTTGTGGATGGGCAGAGACTTTGACATCAAATCACTGAAGGTTTTTGGATGTGATGCATATATTCATGTGCCAAAACAAAAACGTAAGAAATGGGATCAAAAATCTAAGAAAGGTTTGTTTGTTGGATACTGTGAAACTACTAAAGGCTACCGTATATACATTCCTGAAGAAAACAAGGTTGAAATCAGCTGCAATGTTATATTCCATGAGCCTGTTGAAAATACAATGAAGACTAAAACTGACGCTGTATCGTCCCTGAAAGAAACAGAAGATACAGATTATCGACTTGATGTATTACATAATGATGAAGTAGACCAAAGTGAAAATGAATGTGAAGAAGACCTAGGTCCTGTAGAAGACAATCAAGAGCTTGAAGAAAATGTAAATATAGAAGAAAATACAACTAATATGAAACTAAGAAACCGAAACCAACTAAGAAGACCTGTAAAATTAGATAACTATGAAGTTAATTTTATGACTTCCGTAGAAGGAGATGAACCTGATTCATATGAAAGTGCAATGAATCGTGAAGATGCAGATAAATGGAAAGAAGCAATTAAGCAAGAGATTAATAATCTAAAAGAGCACAATACGTGGACTGAAGTTGAAGATCCTGGAAATATTTCAACCATAGATGCTAAATGGGTGTTTAAGTTAAAGAAAAATGATGATGGTCAACCAGTACAATATAAAGCAAGACTTGTTGCTCGTGGATTTCAACAACAAGGATCTTTCGATACAACTGAAACCTATGCTCCAGTCGCTAAGATGACAACATTGCGAGTATTAATGGCTGTAGCTAATCAACAGAGTTTACCAGTACACCAAATGGATGTGACAGGTGCATTTTTACACGGTGACATGACAGAAGATGTATATTTATCTGTACCTCCTGGAATTGAACATATTGAAAGTAAAACTACTGTTTTAAAACTAAACAAGACAATCTACGGTTTGAAGAAATCTCCCAAAAATTGGAATGAAAAGTTCACTGAAATAATGACAAAAGAAGGTTTCTCAAGGTCTAATAGTGACTATTGTCTGTACACAAGACTGACTTATGAAAATAAACTGTATGTATTACTGTATGTGGATGATCTAATAATAGTGGGATCCTGTGAAAATGAAATTTTGAAATTCAAATCAAAACTGAGTCATTATTTCAAAATGAAGGATATGGGTCAAGTTTCAACTTACCTGGGAATAAAGATTGATCATGATTTGACAACCGGAGTAACAACGTTGAATCAAACAGCTTATTTAAAACAAGTGCTACAAAAATTTGGTATGCAGGATTGCAAACCAGTCTCTACTCCAATGGATCCTAATCTTAAAATAAATTTGAACAATTCAGTGTGTGACAAAGAACTAGAACACAAGTGCCGTAAACTAATAGGTTGTTTGATGTTTGCAATGATTGGGACAAGACCTGATCTTTGCTATCCGATTTCGTTTCTAAGTCGCTTCCAAAGTAATGCAAGCGAAGAATTGTGGACTGCTTTAAAACGAGTTTTACGATATGTCAAAGGTACAATTGACAAGAGTTTAACCTTCTATAAGAATAAAAGTGGAAACATTATATTGGAAGGTTTTGCGGATGCTGATTGGGCAGGCGATTTAACTGATCGTAAATCTACATCTGGCTATTTGTTTCTACTATCTGACTGTGTTGTATCCTGGACATCAAAGAAGCAAGTTTCAGTGGCGTTATCCTCAACCGAAGCAGAATATATTGCACTTAGTTTGGCAATAACAGAATCCCAATGTCTCAAACATCTGCTAGAAGATCTAAATGTATCAACCAGTGAAGCTGTGACCATCCATGAAGATAATCAATCAGCAATAGCTGTTGCAGGAAGTCTAGAAAACAAAAGACTTAAACACATTGATGTCAAATATCATTTTTTAAGGGAAGTTGTCAAAAAGGGAAGTGTTGTTTTAAAGTACATTAATTCTGAAAACCAATTGGCGGATATATTAACAAAAGCTCTGTGTAAACCAAAGTTCCAGACATTCAGAAATAAGATGAGTGTTGTTTAAAACTGTTTGTAAGAAGACAATATATTTTTATATTGAGGGAGGGTGTTGAAGCAATATAAAAATATATAAAAATATAATACACTAACTCAATTATTATTCTATGTTTAACTAAAGACTGTTTCATATGTTTATAAAAGTTGTTGTTATGTTGGCATAGCAACTTCCTAGTTGGAGAAAACAATTTATGTGCTTATGAGTTGTACAAGTTTGTAAGTGTTCTGTTTTAAAGTTATAAAATAAAGTATTGTTTATTTGAAGAGTCAAGTATTATAATTTAAATAAGGTCCACAGATTTAACCTCAACAGCAACACTTAAAGATATTACAACTATGATCAGCTGGTGCAACGTTTCCCATTTTGTTCAATGTTTGGATTTAACCTAACCTAATAACGAGTTGTGTTTGAAAGACTAATTAGTTATATGATTTATAGTAACTGAAGGAAAAATATAATGTGTAACACAAGTGCAAACTGCCTTTGCTGCACTCCAGAAACTTTCCACACTCGACTATGGCTTGTGCGCAAACATTTCTCTAGTGTGCAGCAAAGTATTAGCCTACTAGCTATACAAATAACTATTTACGTATACAGTAAATAGAAAACCAGTGAGTTTAGGACTTATGCTTATAGAACATTTTTTATAGTTTTAATCCATTTCCTAAAATGTGTCAGGGTTCCCATGAAACACCCTGTATACAGGGTGACAGCTGAACTGTGCCACCATTAAAATTAACTAAACTATCTAAACTAACTAAAAAATCTTGTCCATGAAACAAAGCTAAAAGCATCAAATTGGTTTAATGCGAATGGTTTTTTGCTTAATGAAGAAAAAACCCAAAACATGATTTTTACACTAAAACAAATCCCCACTATGAGTGATCTAAATAATAGCACAGCTGTAAAATTTTTGGGCCTTCAAATTGATAATCAACTCACATGGAATGCTCACATAGATTATTTATCTTCAAGATTGTCTCGTGTGGTGCATCTTTTAGATCGTCTTGTAAATCAGGTTCCTAAGAAATATGTAAGGACAGCCTATTTTGCGTACTTCCAGTCAATCATGAGATACGGATTGGTGCTTTGGGGTGGTAGTGGTAGAATAAAAGAAATTTTGATTCTCCAAAAAAGGGCTTTAAGAGCTATGACTGGGATGCACCCTGATCATTGCAAACCTCTTTTTATAGATCTGCAAATTCAAACTGCAGTTAATTTGTTCATTTATGATCTGATTGTTTATATATTAAAAAACCCTGAATATCTTCAATTTAATAATCACAGTCACAACACTCGTTTTAAAAATACTGCGCTGTTAGAATCCCATCGTCTTAGTAAAACTAGTAATTGCCACATAATTTTATCAATTAAAGTATATAATTCAGTAAAAAATAATCTAAATTTTCATTCAATTAACAAATTTAAGGCTATGTTTTATAATTATCTACTTCAGAACCCTTTTTATAGTCTGGATGATTATTTTAAACTGGGAGAAATTGTCCTTTAGTTTGGTTTTAATTTCAGTTAAGAATGTGAATGGAGTTGAATGTTAATTGTAATATTCAATAGTATGTTTATTTTAAGACTTGGTTTGAAAACTGCAAATAGACTTTGTCAATGATATGTAAATGTATCCTTATGGCAAATAAAGATTGATTGATTGATTGATTAATATCTTAGAAACCATTGAGAACTATAACTATTATCTTATGACATAAAAAATATGAATTACACTTGTTTTATTGGACACCATGTTTATTCTTATAATTTCTTTCTAGTGCTTCAGTGTGTTACAATCTGGAAAAAGTGACTTGCTGTGAACATTCTACACATCTAGTAGAAACGAGCAAGCTCCTAAACGAGCAAGCTTGGAGTGGAAATGCAAGGAGTAAGTTAGTCTTAAAATTGCATCTTAATTCTAAAAAAGTTCATAAATACAGGGAGTTGAGAAAGAAATTTCAAAGCTAGCCGCCACTTAAAAGTGGAATCCATATTTTTAATGAATTTTATGATCTTTTAGATTCTTCCCTGTCTGGGCATTCAGTTCTAGGATGGATTGCATGACACTCAAAAAACCCAATGACTCTTTTAAATCACTTGGGATGGGGAAAAACCACCTTTAAAAGTATAAATACCCCTGCAAACCTGCAGACTAAGCGAATTTCCATTTGACTGATTGGATTTACACTGAAATGTCTACTTAAAAATATAACATTTATTCTTGATTTAAATAGAATTAGTTTAACAAGTACTTAGGTTTGCTGCATCAGGGAGGGTAAAACTGTTTTTTTTTTTTTTGTAAAATGTGAATAGTTAGTAAGAAATAAAAACAATTTCCAAATTTGATCAAAATATGTTCACAAACAAGCAAACTACAACAGTTTACTTATTCTCCATAAGAATAACATGGAAATTTTAAATTTACAATTTTTTGTAATTTTCTCCGTAACCATTAGGCGCATAATAACACTTCAATATACTAAATTATTTTTTTTTAAGCTCTACAAAATGGTTTGGAAAGAAATTGCTAAATTTTATGTTTTTTGGGTCAAAAATGGGAAAAACCTTTTTTTACCCCATAAAACCCCCCATAAACCCCCGTTCCCATGGTCTGATCATGCTGTTTTGCAAACTCGTTCGAATAAACGTATGTTTACACGTTTGTACCAAATTTCATCAAAATCGGATCATTTTTGCTCGAGTTATCGTGCTGACGGACACATATATATATATATATATATATAAATTTGAACGGATGGTGTTTTTGGCCTCTAGGGACCTCAAAACGAAAAAAAAATCGGTCCCGCGTCCAGGTCTTACCATGAGTACTACGGTAATAGCTTATTCCCTATATGGGAAATTCTCTAAAAGAAATATAAATACAAAGTAGTCCTATGATTACTAAATATAACAAGTAATTTAGAAGCAACTCACCAGTAAAATATCCAAACTAGACGGCCACACAGGAACTACATTAATAGCACTTCATATGTAACTCTGTCAAGTGGGTTATATCATGCCACTTATCTATAGCTCAACAAAATCATCAAGTCATTCCTGTTGTCAACATTTTCACTGACTATACTCCACAGTTAGCACATAGAAAACTAATGCAAATAACCTTAGTCGCTTAGTTATTTGAGTGGTTTTGAACTACTATTGGGTACTATTTGCAGTATTGGGTATATGTGAGTGAATGATAATAATTATCATGTTTTAAAAAGATTTCTACCAATTTTATAATGTCTGTAATTTTTTCTACAGTTTAAAGTCTATAGGTAAAAACTAGTGATTATTCAAACTGTAGTAGTTATAACAATAGTTTTTTCTGTAAATATGTTAATATAAATTCAAAACATTTATCGTAGATCTGAAAATTTATGAAATAACTTTATCCAAACAGTAAATAAAATCTCAAGAAGCAGATAAAATAAATAGTCTTTATTTTTTTATTTTATCCTAACAGCCATCTTTCTTAATTTTAAAACTCTACGATCCCTAAAGATGGCATATGTATCTTTCCCAATGATGTTTATTTATTGAATTACATAATACTTGATAATTATTTATCAGCACAGCACATCATATAAATGAAAGGATACATTATTATGTATACATAATACATAGTTAAATCTGACTTAAAACTAATAAGAGAAAATAATACATTTGTCTTTTTACATTAAGAACAACTGATCATAAAAAAAAACAAGTATAAGGAAAAGATTTATCTATTTAGAGTAAGTGGATTTATTTATAGCTATAATTCCAGCAGCCCTCTAAACAGTCTAGATTTGATTGAGATTGAAACTGAAGTTTCAATGTAGCTTGAACATAATATGGATTTGATGCAACTCATCTCCAGTTCAACAACGACACAATCATCTTCCGAAGACCAAAAGGAAACAATCTACTTGGACTGTAAAAGTGTAACTTTTAGTTCAGTTTCTTACTTCTTTCACCTTTCAATCTGCTTTGACTACTCAACTGTCCATTATTAGTAAACACTCCTAAAATCCGTTTAATGATAACATAAATACATGTTAAGGTTGTGACAAGTACTATAGAAACAAGTCCAATTACATCCAGTAGATAAACTTGATAGAAGGGCATTGCAGCTGCAGCTGGTGTAAGATGCTTAGCCCCAGCATGGCGCATGACATAGTCTACCCAGTATAGGACTGTGTCTGTGGGACTGACAGGGCGGTCCTGGTAGATCATAGACATCTTCAACATGTTGTCCTTGTACCTGGATACACAGTAAGCAAATTAATAAATTATAAAAACCCTCATTTTAAACTCTCAGCAAAATCCTTCTGTTGAATTCCAAGATTAATTTCACAAACATTGCTGGAATTATTAAGAATAGTTTTACAAACAAATTGGCATGTCCTGGCACAGGAGCCCATGTGGGCTCTTAGAGGGCTGACCTTAGGGTCGGGTATGAGCGGTACCTCCATTCCTCTTTTATTCATTCATTCATATCAACGGATACACCATTTACAAAATGGTACTCTTCATGACTCCCCCCCCCCCACTCTCTTTGAAGCCCAAACCCCTGGCCACGCCCATTGGTGTTGTGAGGATTGAGGGGATGGTGGAGTGGAGGAAGGCTCCTACCCATACCCAAAGTTAGCCCCATGAGAGCCCATAGTGGGTCCCTGTGTTGAATACATATTTCCCCTAGTGGTACCATTTACAGAAAAAAAAAATTTAGAGAAAAAAACACTTACTTGGGATCATCAAGAACTTTTTTTAGTGCTGACAAGATTGTTTCTTCTGATAAGGATTTGAAAGGCAGAATGACTCCAATTCCTTTCTCCTCGTAGAACTTGGCATTCATGGGTTGATCGCCGAGGAAAGGAGTGCAGATTACTGGGACTCCAGCTCGAATTACCTCATGTTGACTTAATATCCCTCCGTGAGTCATGAACACTTTCATGTTAGGATGAGCTGTACACAAATGAACTTTCAACAAAAAAAGGTGTTTAACGGCAAAAGTTCACCATCACAAATGAACTTTTCATGTATAATCAAAGAGGTAAAAGAACTATAATTAACCCAATAACTTTCTTGTACAAACCTTAGACATTTATTGTCTGTAAACGTAAACTCATTGCATTCACTAAACGGATCATATATATTGGTTTGTAATTGACAATTTATTTTAATTGAATTTTACAATGAAGAGTGTTCTTTTCATAGTTACATTCGCAGATCCACTCCATACAACAAAATGTCCTAATCCGTCTTATGGCTGCATGCTTAACTGGCCAACATCTTACATGATGCAATTTTACCAATTCAAAACGTGGTCATCTCTTCAAGTCCAAGGTTGAATGGCCTTTTCGTGGTTAAACTAGAAACTCCAAATTGCATTATGTTGGAATCCTATTAATTATAAACTAACCCAGAACATCTTGTTGGGGCACCCACTCTGATGTCATTATATTTTTTGGCAGATTTTGAAGGTTGCGTTTTGTTTTCCACAATACTTTTTGTGGCAGACGACTGAACGCTGCAAGAAAGTTTTTGAAGTATTCTTCATCAAGCAGGTGGTCTGGGACTTTTGACCCAACGCTGAAGTATACAACTCCTTCAGATGCCTTATCCAGGAACCTTTTCATTTCCTAGAAAATATTATAAGGAATTAACCCAAAAAATTTTCACTCTTGTATCTACAAAGTTAGGTGATAAACCTTCCATTTCTTAGTTGAAAAGACCATTATTAATTATTGTATGTAAGGGTAGGGTTTTATATTTCTGAGCAATACAGAGTAAGTTCCACAGTCTACATCAAAGTTACTCCTAACTTTCATTTCCCATATAAGAAATTTAAAGCTATGGTAGGTCTCATGGTATGTGTCTGTAAGCACAATTCTTTAATTCTTTATTGTAAAAAACATCCAATTTTTAGGAAATTTGTTACAAACATGTAACCTTACTTTTATTCTAAAGAGCTCGCAAACCAGCTTGATCAAACTCTGGGAATAAGGTTTAACAGTGGGTTTTATGGGGTGAAATAAATTAAACACTTTTTTCAAACCAGTTACAAGGGTCTTGTTTACTTAGTACTTTACATTTATATTCACTTAGTATGTTGAAATGCTGTTGTCCGTCTAATGGTTACATAAAAAATTCAAACCTGTCAATTTAAAATTCCCACCTTATTCATAGGAATAATGAATAAAATAAACTCTTGTAGTTTGCTTCTTTATGGACATATTGTGAAAGTATTTATTTCATACTAATAAGCTGTTATCATCTGAATAAAAATTTTACTGCACTGGATTAATTTGACCAGAAAACTATTGTATTTCATTCTTGAATAATTTCATTGTAATAACCCGTATCGTAATTATAATTTGATTTTATCGTCCCGGTGTATTGCATGACAATACAGCATTACCAATGATATTGCTACAACCTCAGCAGTAAGTTCTGAATACTCACCTCAGGAAGTGGGTTCTGCTCCTTGGCCAGATGTATTCCACCGATCGGAATGATGTTGGGGGTGTACGGCTGCACATAGTGAACATGAGGATGCTCATTTGAAAAAGTCAAGGCCAGCCAGTTCTGCATCAATTCTGACAGTGGAGGTAGCGAAGAGTCGTTAAACAACTCCCTCGTAAACTGATCTTGCGAGGGAAACAAATAGTAGTAGTATTGAAACAGCGTACTCAAAATTGAGTAAGCATTGAGTGTCCTCTCATAGAAGGACATGTGATTTGAGAATGGAAAAGGCCAATCAGGAATGTACGCAAGGTTGAGAGAATTCCCACTAGCTCTGTTTACAAGACTGAAAGCTCCGAATGGTTGAAGATTGATTATGGGAGCTTTGAACTTGTGACCAAGGGCAAAAAGTGATTCTTGGGCATAAAACGCTTCCAAAAATATCAAATCAAACTTTTCATCTGATTTAAGAAGCTGCTGAAAATCTTTGTTATTTTTAATATTTTTCATAATCAAAAACCATTTCTTCCAAAAAAATGGGGTACATCCTACTGGATTCGTGTTTAACCATGTCTCCAGCGTTTCTTTGGTCACTGCAACAAAACAGGGTAGATTAAGACAATAAAACATACTGCATAAAATGACATTAACAAGTAGCTAGAGGTTTCAAATTGATAAGAATATATTGAAAATTTTGAATAAAGTGAAAGTAGTTTGGTCAAGTTTTAATCCTGTTGAAATGTGTGTTTCAAGTTGGTAGTCTAACATATGAGTGCACGGATGTAAACTAATCTTTTCTCTGTTATTTATGTGGATTTCTAAATTTTATAAACTTCTCTTAGGTTATAACCAGAAGTCAAACAATCTTTTTCATATTGGTTGCTAATATCTATGTAAGGTGAATCTATTGTATTTGTCTCGTCACAGAGAAAAGGAAGGTACAGAAGAAACACTTAATTGTACTCCTAAGTAAGGGGTGTCTGAAATAGTCGCTGGTGTCCAGGGAAAAGTCTAACACCACCTCATTCGCCCTCTTGTAGCCCTGCTACAACACTTATGGTGGAGGAAGAACCTATATCCTGTGCAATAGGAATTTCTGCACAGAATTCTTGCAGCTTAGGCTCTTCATTGCACAAGTATATTTCTGACACAACATACTAGAGCTGAAAGTGATGGTTGTCTCATAGACTTGTTTCCTTTTTACCTTCCTTCTCTGATGTCTTGTCTAGCCAACGTGATGTGGCAAAGGCGTTAGATATAGCAAGAATATTTTAAATGGGGGATCGATAAGTATTCTTCGAATTAAGTTTACATTACATACCAAATATTGTTACTGATGGTTTTGTTACCGTATTTGAAATACGCACTTGATTTATCAACTGGTTGCATGTTGTCCATGTGAATGACAGTTAGGTTATCCACCTCCTGGTCGGCTGGTAGACCACTGTATTTGACGACCTGATGTCCTGCCTGCGCCAGTGTCCTCAGCACGGCGTTAAACAGGATGTGATGACTCCTGACAGGGATTGGCAGGACAGCAAGGATCCTGGCTGACATGGCAGGACCTCCGTAAGACATCAGGAGCAGCATTAAGATGATGTTCATGGTAGATCTACAGACATATGTGACTAAAGACTAAGTCATGGTGACATGTGTGACATGGCAGAGTAAGAATAAGAAGAATAAGAACAGTTTATTGCCATTGACCACGTACAAAATGAATAGGCATTGTCAAGTT